AACTCTGACACCTCTTCCCCTACCGACCCTTTCTTCGTGGTGGGATCACAACTTTTTTACATACTCAGGTTGTCTTGTTAGCATTCATGTTCGACCTACGTGTGGTGATGGGACGGGAAGGACACAACCACCGGCACGTAATGAGCGCTTCCTACCCGCGTATGCTGCCCGCTCTCCGGAGGCTGATACCCCTCCCTAAGTGTGGTGTGCGTTTACTAAGACAGTCTTCCTGGCTACAGGAAATAAAGCCAGTGACTGTCACTCCCAGGGTCCACAGGCTGGAAAGAGAAACAGCCAGGTGCTGGTGATGGGATGTGATGGGGGCCCTACCAGAGGCTGGGAGCCAATGGGTCGGGCAGGCGGGGAAGTCTCCAGGAGCTCAGGGGGTATCCTGGGGGCCTTGGACAGGTTTCCAGGAGACCAGTAAAGAGAAGATGTGCAGGGGCCTGGGCCCTCCAGGAAAAGATTGCAGGTCAGTGGGGGTCACGGCACCAGGCCAGAGGGAGCTGGGTCTGTCCTGCTTCTGCGTAGGGACATGGTCTCCTAGAGCTGTGGGAGGATTTTGTGGGCTCTGTAGGGGCGGATGGAACAGGAAACCCAGGCCAGGGATGCCTGCCACCCCCTTCTAGCCCAAGCCAGCACCTGGGGCCCTAATAGTCTCCAGAGGCTCAGAGGCTGGTATCCCACCATTCAGTCAATGAATCTTGAACACATACTGTGTGGGTGGGAGGGTGGAACCAGACCGGGAGAATGAGTAAGTTGTGGACTTTGCTCTGGAGGAGTCTGGGACCAGCACAAGAATAAGATAAGCACCCAACACTCCTTAGCTGAGATAAGGGCAGTGGAAGAGGCTGGTCCTGCAGGATCCCAGGAGGGTCTGGGGCAGAGCATCTGAGCTGGGCCTCATAGGGGTAGCTGGGGGGTCCAGGGATTCAGAGAGGACAGGACAGTAGGCATGAATTCAGTCATAGAAAGGGGTGAGGGACCAGAGCAGGGGGTCAGACATTTGTTGCTACATCAGTCCTCAGAGGGACAAGGTCCAGCTTGCTCTGTGACTTTTAGCCAATGGTTGCTCAGAGTCTGCGTCCTCATCTCCCTAACGGGCTCACAAGGTACCTCGAGAGGTTGCCAAAATAATTCCAGGTGGTGTGTGCAAGTGTGCAGTACCCAGAAAGAGCACAGTCGCTGATTCCTGTTATTAAACAACTGGACTTTATTCCTATGTCTGTTTCCAATTTTTAAAATTCTATTTTTTATCAGCAGAAACCTCTCCCCACTCCAGTGGAAATGCCCCCCAGAGCCCCAACACAAAAGATTGGGAGCACAGCTGTGGCAAGGAGGCTAGGTAGGCAGTTCTGACCACCACCACCAGGGGGAGCCCTTGACCCTTTTTAGGACACTTGGGACTGGGGGAACTTGGGTCTAGACTGTGCCTTAGGTAAGTGAGACTGGCAAGAGGACAGAGGGACAAGTGGAAGTGGAGGTTGGCTCAGGGTCCCTGTCCTTGGTGCCCCACCACCCAGGCCACAAGGAACATCCCTGGGTACTTCCTTGGGGTACAAGATGAAGGCTCAGGTTCTATTCCACAGATGCTCATTGAACTCATACCTGGGCTCGCAGGGCTGGGGCTGAGCTCACGGGTCATGGGGAGGATGGGCATACAAGCACAAATCGGCGACAGTAACATTTAGGATCAAGTACTTCAAGTCTTCTTCCTGGCTGGGGGTGTCGGGGGAGGGGGGAGGCTTCCTGAAAGCAGCAAATGCTGCCTACCAAGAAAAAAAAAAAAAGCTGGGAAGAGTGTCGGGGAGAGGGAAGAGCATGGGCAAGCCCAGAGGCAAGCCACAGGGCAGGGGAGATGGGGCCTTGGGTGCTTTGCTGGTGTGGCAAGGTCCTCTTCAACCCCTGGACATCCCACCCTGCCTCTGCCCTTGCAGGTCCTGGTGGCTGGCATTGAGGCGAACATACCTGTGACCTACGGAATTGACAGCCAGGGGGAGACAGTGCACTGGCTGTCAATTCATAGGTCAGAGCCCTGTGCACTCGGTCTTGGCAGCCTGCCGGCAGCCCACCACCCTTTGCCATCCCGGCCCACAGCATTGCCATGGAGGTCCCTGCTGGCCTGCTGGATGGCGTATGCTGCTCCTCCTCTGTGGGTACTGGCCCCCACCCCAGATAACAGCAGCCCCACTGGAACCAGTGGGCACTTCCACATGGAGTTGCTGTTACAGGGGGTGGGAGTCCTTGGGAGGCTGGAGCTCTGCTTGCCTGGCATCCACCATAGGAAGGTTCCTGGGAGAACCCTATGGCTGCCCACCTGGGCCCCTGGGTTCTCTTGGCTCCAGATCCATGGTCTTTTTATTGAGGCTCCTTATCATCTGGGGCCCACACCTGGCATCCCGTGGGGTGCCAACCCTCCTTTCTGGGCGAAGTCCAGGTTCAACCCCAGAGCTGCCTCATAAAGCGGGGAGTGGTTCCAGTTTACAACTCTGGGTAGCCTTCGCCCACTCTGACAGCACACACCTTCTGTCCAAGCTCTTTTGTTTCCTTGTTTCTTCCCCAACTAGAGCTGAGTCCCAGTTTCAAGTCTGGCTACTGTGACCTCCACCCTCTGCCCTTTGCCCACCCTTCCTGCCACAGCCATGAGACAGGCTGGGCATCTGTCAGTCTTCAGGGCCCTCTAAATACCCACTTTCTTGAAGATGGGCCAGTCCAGGAAGCTGGAGACAGCTGAATGACAGGAAGCAGGGGGAGAGAGAGAGAAAGAGAAGAGAGACCAAGAGAAGATGAGAAGAACAGGCAGAAAATGGGGACAGAGAGCAGGCAAGGTGGAGGAGAAAGAGAGGACACAGGAGATTTGTGGGCTGGGGATGTAGCTCAGTGGTAGAACATTTGCCCAGTATGCTCAAGGCCTTGGGTTCAATTCCCAGCACTGCTGCAGGAAGGAAAAAAAAATGGAAGGAAGAAAGAAAGATGCTGATAGCCAACGAAGTCTATTAGCGAATGCAAAGAGCAGGGTTGTGAGGAGCCACCCATCTGGAAGAACACTTCATACTTTAGCAGCCTGAGCCAGTAGAGGGCGGGGAGCTGGGATGACCTCAAGAAAGTAGCTTAACCTCTCTGAACCACTGCTGGCTCCTCCAGGCCATCCTGCACCCCGGCCTAGCCTGGTGAAAGCCGCCTTCTGAGCTGGCTGTGGGACCAGAGCTTCTGTACTCTCATCCTCTCCACACAGGCTCTGACCAAGAGGTTTCTGTGACAAGTGTGGGTGCCTGTCTTGCCAGGACCCAGCAGGCATTCCAGAGGGAAAAAGTAACTTCTAGTGTGAGCTTGGGTTGTGCTCTCCTTTGCCAGGTGGGAAAGGCCTGGAGAGGCGGAGGAGGGTGCCTAAGCTCACAGAGCAGGGCTTTAGAGTGGGCATTGCCCCCTGGCAGGCCACCCACCCCCTGTGGGTGGCATCATCCTTTTGAGGTGCAGTTAAGGTGAGAAGGAGCTCTGGACAGGAGTCCTTCTGCCTAGAAGGGCTTGCTAATGGTGACTAACCATCCACAGAGCCCACAGCCCTCTCCCTCAGTGGCCTGGGCCAGCCTAGCCTCCTGTTGAGTGGGGCCCAAGGACCCCAGTCTGGTAGACGCAGACCATGATGGGGAATCCTGGCTCCACAATGCTAGTTAACTCCCAGAGTAGTTGCTACAGTCCCCTAATCCCAAGGTGGAAACTGAGGCACAGAGTGGGAAGGAGCTGTCCCAATCCTTTTCTTCCTTGCTCAGAAGGGCTGGTGGCCCTGAAGAAAGAAGCCTGAGCACAAGAGCCTGCAGGGACATAGGGGGATGTAGGAAGATGGCCTGGGAAGTGTCTTACCTGGGTGCCTGGCTGGCCCTCGGGGCACAAGGAGGAAGTGGGGACGCCCTGGGCTCAGGGCCTTTTGAGCTGTTGGCCCAGCCCCTGATGGTGGTTAATGATTACCCTACTACCATCAATACTGATCCCAAGTGCGGTTCGAAGGGCAGAAAACCTGGACTGTGCCCGGGCAGGAAGCACCCGCCGGGCCCCATCTGCCCCTCCCAGTAGTGGTGTCGGACCCTAGCGTCCACAGTCAACTCCCTACGGGCTTTACCCACCTTGACCTCTTTAGTCCAAAGCCCCAGGTGACCATGAACAGGCAGGACCTCAGGGCCCTCAGGACAAAGCTTCTGCCCTATTCCCGGTGCCCAGTTCTCCCACATGGGCCACAGAGGGAGACCTGGGGACCTTGGCTAACCTCAGAGAGGTCTTCGGGGCATCCAGCTAGGTGAGGGACCTGACTCTTCACCTGAGACTTGGAGAGGGGTTTGGGAAGGAGTCAGGAGCGTCTCCTTTGGGTCACAGGAAACAAGGCATGCGTAGCTAACAGGCATCTTTCTAATCCCATGGAACATCTGTGACCCCTCCAGCACGCCCCCCACTCCAAAACTAGTCATCCCAAGAGTCTGTTAAGAAATAGTGAGAGCAGCCTCCAGAGGCCTGAGACTCAGCCTTCAAGAATGACCTCACAGGGCAATCCTAGACCCTGGTGCAGTGGGCAGGGGACAGGAACAGCCTGAGGCTCAGTGCTCCAGGGCAGAGTCAGTCTATACATCAGGCCTCAGTCCCTCTGGCCACAACCCTGCCTTGCTCTGGCCCCAGGGAAAAGCTGAACCCTGGGGATCCTGCCCTGACAGAGCCAAGAAACATGGCCGTGTGAGGTAGTATCCCGGGGCCATTCCTCCGTCCCTGGGTCCCGAGGAGGCTCCTCCCAGCTTCATTCAGCTCCTGCTACTCAGCAGTGGGGCTAGGGTGACAGGCCCTGGAAGGGTTAGCTAGGTGCAGCTCAGAGAAGAAGGAAGGAGCCCAGTGTGAGCGGAAGACTGGGAGGATGTGGTGCCTCCTGGTGGCGACAGAGAGGTACTGCGTGCAGAGGTGGGGCCTGGCAGAGCCAAGCCAGGTGGGGCCCACAGGCACAGAGGACCTGGGAGAGGGGCTGGCGGTGGGCAAGTTTATTCCACTTCATGCAGACACTGACCCACACGCTCAGGGAGCTTAAAAATAATACACTGACCCACACGGTGTCTGTCCCTCACTTTCCCATGAGACATGGAAAGACACTTGGCTGAGTGGGGTTGGGGTTGAGGGTCCACCTTCATCCCAGGACAAGACAGCAGTGTGGGCCCATGTGGTGGGGAGGGTCCGTATCCTTTCTCCCCAGAGGAAAAGTGCAGACAGGGCCGAGGCCCCAAGGCAGGGAGGCCCCACTCACAGCAGATTGGCAATGGGCAGGCCAGGCAGGTGTCCTTCACAGTGGCCTACCCCTGAAGGGCCTAGGCTTGGCCCGGCTGTGGGTCACAGCTCTCAGGAGGCTGGGGAGCTGGCTGGGCACAGTGGGCAGTGCCCCACTGGGTCCTGGTGCCCGTGGCTCAGTCCTGGGCCTCCTCAGAACGCCACTTGAGAGCATGGTCCTTGTGGGCATCAGGCAGGATCTGGTTACGCATGCCCCCGAGCACGTTGGAGGTGGCCTCTGTGGCAACGATGATTGGTTTCACCACCGTTGGGGGCAGCTGGCGGATCACGCCCCCCACAGCGCCTGTCAGCCCCTTCTGCTCGTGGCCCCTTGATGCCACATCACAGATGGTCTGAGCTGTATCCAGGATGCCCTGTGGAGGTCAGAGGTCAGTGCAGGGGTCTGAGTGAGGGGTTGGGTGCCTGTGCTGAGAGGGAACAGGGCTGGGGCCTCCTCACCTCTCGAACCGTGTCATAAGCCTTGGCCACGCCCTCCCGGAGGTCAGCTGGCTGCTGGCCTCTACGCAGCCTTTGGGCAGAGCGCTTGTCCTGCAGGGAGCGGGAGATGGGCGCTGCAGGAGACAGGATGTCATAGACCGTCTCGGCTGTGGCCTGAAGAACACAGAGAGTTGGATGAGGGCAGCTGGTTAGGCAGACATATTGGCCCCTAGTCCCTGAGTGGTAGCCCGGGGAACTTGGCTTCCCACAGCTTCTCCCACACCTCAGTTGTGAGGTCCCTGGGCTCCTACTCAGCCTTGTCTCCCCACCCCTACCTCCTCCTCCCACCCATGGCTCCCACTGCCCAGCTCAAGGCACATCAGGACTTTCTGAATGTCTCCTCCAACACAAAGCCTGCTGACTGTACACCTGGGAGGGCTCCTTGCCTGGCTTCCCCAGCTAGAGGGGCGGCCCCAGTGAAGATCCCATGGGCCATGAGTGAGCCCACCACTGAGCCTGACCTTCCTCTGCTACAGAAGCCTCAGCTCTCCCTCACATTCCCTACCACACCATGTCACTGTTTCCCACCCAACTTGTCACTCTGGGGCTCTATGTGCTTACCCCTCCAGCCTCCTGTTTTGAGTCCCTGTCCCCCACCCCCTGGGATGTGAGCTCACAAGTCCCAGAATGCATCATGCTCTCCACAGGACATACATCAGAACTCATCCACTCCCTTACAGGACTGCTCCCCAGGGTCCCTGGGGAGCCCCCTGGGCTTAGCAAAGAGCATGGACTGAATGAACCAGGGCTAGTTTCTGTGCCCATTTCTCTATAAACACCAGTGCCTCTCCCCTCCTTCCACGTGGTCATGAACACAGAGACAGGGTGGGCTCAGACAGCCTGGAGGGTGCTCTTATCCCACCCACAGAAGCCACTTAAGTCTAGGCTGTGGGCCCCAGGCACATCACCTGGTCTTTCCTCTCCAGGACTGTTTCTTTAGGAAAAGAGGCTGTACTACCTAGCCTGCTGGCTCTTAGTGGAGTTTCCCCCTCGCCCCTAGTGGTACTGGGGTTTGAACTGCCACTTTATCCATGCCTCCAGCCCTGGTTATTGTTGATAGGGTCCTGCTTTTTGCCTGGGCCACAGTCCTCCTATTTATGTTCCCTGAAGAAGTCTGATGACAGGCCCATGCCACCATGCCCAGCTTTTTCTGTTGATATTGGGGGTGGGGGGGACCCAAGAATTTTTTTGCCCCATCTGGCCTCGAATTGTGATCCTCCCAATCTCCACCTCCCAAGTAGCTTGGATTACAGATGTGAGCTACCAGCACTGGCCTCTTAGCAGAGTTTGGTTTTTTTTTTTTTTTTTGGTACCAGAATTAGAACTCAGGGCCTACACCTCGAGTCACTCTACCAGCCCTTTTGTGTGTGTGTGTGTGAGATGGATTTTTTTCAAGATAGGGTCTCATGAACAATTTGCCTGGGCTGGCTTCAAATTACGATCCTCCTGATCTTTGCCTCCTGAGTAACTAGGATTACAGGCATGAGCCACTGGTGCCCAGCTTACTGGTTAGCTGTTTTTGTTCTTTTTTTTGGTGGTACTGGAGTTTGAACTCAGGGCCTCATGTTTGCTGGGTAGGCACTCTACCACTTGAGCCATGGCCCCAACCCTTAGCAGAGTTTTGAGGACAGAACTGGGAGCTTCTAACGCCTCCCTGTCCTACACAGTGTGTGGAGAGCTCACCTTCACCTGGACAGCCCACACTCACCTGGATGGCCTGCACCAGTCGGTTGCTCAGTTCTAGGGCAGCAGAGGCCGTGGATGAGCCAAAGGAGGCAGCCCCACGCTGCAGTCCCCGCATGAGGCGTCCATCCTTCCGGTACTGCTCAATGGGCAGCCACAGCAGGTCCCGGAACCCTTGGACTGAGAGGACCGGGTTATCAGAGAGGCCCCAGGCTGCATGCCCCCATCTGGCCTGCCTGAGGACCCCTCCTCCTTTCCAACGGCAGTGTCTAAGCTGCCCAAGAGTAACAGCAGTTTTGAGACCTCAAACCCAGACACTCACAGAGCTGGACAACCGAGTGCATGGGGCCCACACCTCCCAGCAGGCCAGGCAGCTGGTTCTTGCGGATGTCCTGCAGCCACTCATTGAGAGCATAGCCCAGCACCTTGTCTACACCCAGGAGCCTGGAAGGGAGAGGTGAGAAGGGTGAGGTGCGTGAGGGAGGAGACCATTCATTGAGACCAGGGGGCCAGAAGGCCCTAGTACTGCAAGGCACGTCCTGTGGGCACTCAACCCTATAAACAGTCCCACCCAGCAGCCATGTGTGAAATGATGTCTGTGCCCATTTTACAGAGGAGAAACTGAGGCCCTGAGAGGGGTGATGACTTGGCCAAGGCCACGAAACCAGTGAGGAACACGACAAGAGAAAGACTGAGAATCCCAGAGAGAGGCTGGGGTGCTAGGGCTCACCCATGCCGGCAACAGAGTCGCTTGAGCTTCAGCTCGGAGCAGTTGAGCTGGGCCAGGCCGATGAGGAGGCCAGCAAAAGTGCCCTGTAGGGGAGGGAGTGGGGGTCTGGCTATGTGACAGGAAAGGGAATTGGCTGGCCCTGGTCTAACGCTCAGGCACAGCTGAAGAGAACTAGGAGCCAGAGAGCCTGGCCCACACTGTCACCTTGCATGCTGGCCCTACTCACCACCTGGTCCATGGTGACATGCTTGCCATGGTAATCCAGCCAGATGGGCACCTCAGATGTGAAGCGGAACTCCCTGGGCAGGGAACAAAGAGAAGGGGGACCTCTGGTCACTGACTGCATCCCCTGCAGCCTGGGCCAGGGTCTCCCAGCCCCCAGCCCTACCTGAAATAGATGGGCTGCTGCTCGGCAGCAGAGCTGTGGCCACTGCCTGGGGCCTCCTGGGAGCCACTCATCTCCACATCCTCAGGTTGCCCTTCCTGGGGGCTGCTAGGCCGGCCTCGGGTCTCAGGGTGAGCTAGAGAAGAAGTCACAGACCAGGGACAGGGTAGGGATGCCGTGTGGCTGGCTGCCCTGGGAGGTAGGGCCTGGACTCTCCCTCCACGGGTCCAGCCTCTTACCATCAGAGGTCTCTCCTGGGACCATGGGGTTGATACCAGCTGCTAGGCTGGTGAAGAAGTCCTTGAGGAAGAAGAGGGCATCCTACCAGGAAGAATTCAGGGAACGGGTCAGACCCAGAGGCCTATAGAAGGTGGGGTCATGCCAGGCTCTGCCCTCACCTGCCTGCTCACCTGGTCCACGTTGAGCCGCAGAGGCATCAGTGAGACACGGAGACAGCACTCAGGCCCACCTAGGCTAGTGGTTGGAGCCACATGCAGCGCTTTGATGGTGAGCTGAGGGTGGAAAACAAACTCTGGTTGTCTGCTGGGCCTTGAGGGCTCCTAATCCTACTGCCCTGCCTTTGCCCACACTGTTCCCCCCACTGGATCCCCCCCAGGCACACACACAGTCTGGGTGAGGGCATGGAGGTGGACGTGTGCTGCCCATGCCCCGCGCACCATGTTCGAGTGTGTGCGCCGTGGCAGCCGCTCGCTTGTGTGTAGGTGCAGGAACTTGTTGATCTGGGAGGAGGCAAGCCGGTCTCGGATCTCCAGCTCCTGCACGATGAGCACCTGGCGGGACAGTGGCCGCTCTTCCAGCTCCTGGCCAGGGGCTGTGTCCGTGGCTGTCTCCTCCGGGTACACCTCGTGCTGAAAGCTCACCTGTGGGTGGATGAGGCCTGAGTAGGGCCAGCAAGGGCCAGAGGGAGAGAAGGTCTGGCTCAGGCCCCTTCTCTCCCAGCAACCCTTCCTGTCCCCATCCCTACCTCAGCCCCATCCCTGGCTGCAGCCTGACAGCTCCAGATGACTGCCCCACAAGCACTGAGTGCTTCACGGATACATTAAACTTAACCTCCTGTTCCCACAGACTCTGTTTAACCCAAGTGGCACTGGCCAACCCTGTCACCAGAGCACAAACTTTGGCAGCATCTTTGCTCTCCTCTGTGTCTCACTGGTCTCCATTGCTGCCACCTGGTCTCCAAGTGTCCCCCTCCTCTGGGCAGTCCCTGCCCTCCCTCTCCAACCCATTCTCCAAATACACAGGGGACTTTGTAAGGTGCTGTGCATGCCCCGTGGGTTCTGTGCCCCAGCCTGGCCTTGCCTCCTCCAGACCTGCCTCCCCCTCACTCTTGCTCAGCGAGCCACAGACCAGCCTCTTCCAGGTCCTGGCTCATCTTATCTTGGGCTCTTGCCCTGGGCCCCATTCCAGGGAGAGTTTTCCTTCTCTTTCTGGAAGCTGGTGGTTTCCACCAGGTCTTAGGCCACTGCTCAGAAGTTATCTCCTGAGCCCTCCTGCAACATAGCCCACTGATCCCAACAGCCATGGGCTCTGTCATCTGCCCTACAATTCCTTATGAAGCCCAAACCAGCCTACTACCCTCTCAGGAAGTGGGACCTCCCAGCAATTTCTCTAACAGGAACCCTATGGATCTCTCTACCATCCAGTCCCTCCAGAGTCTGCCCATCCTCACTACCCCTGTCCTGCACTCACCGCTGCCATCTTGCCTCCAACACCCCCACCTTACTCTAGCAAGCATCCAGCCATTTCTGTGCTCCACAGAACCTGCCATAAGCTGTCCCTTATGTTGTGGATCTCTCCCCCAACTTGGCTTCGGTCCTAGGATGACCTGATGGCTCCTGGAAGATCAGTGATGCTCCCAGCTTGCCACGCGCACGCCATTCTGAGTCACTGCTCCCTGTGTACTTCTTTGGGTTTTTGTTCAAGATGGCTCTCCTTCCCCTCCCACCTTCAGTTCTCCCCTGACCTTTTTCCACCATGGGCCACACTAGGGCCACCTTTCTCTGGTTTTGACTGGCGAAGGGGTTTCCCTGTGAAGGCAGGATTAGCCTGCTTTGCTCCTTGCTACAGTACAGGCAGCCTCTAGAACAATGCCCCAGGGGTGTGCTGACAAAGGCCAGTGTGCACCATGGTGGTGGTGATGCAGGTGGCCCTGTGCTCACCTTGCTGAGCTGGATCTCCATGAGGACCTGGTGCTGCCGCCCACTGCCTCCCTGTGTGCGCCAGGAGTTCTGGGGTCGGTTGGGGCCAGAGCAGCGGGAAGGGGAGCCCCTGTGGCCTGTGAGGCCAACTCTTGCCCTGGGAAGAGGAATAGGGGACAAGCTGACTCAAAGGAAGCCCTGCCCCCTCCACCTCAGCACAGCCTTTCAGTCTGAGGCAAGACACCTTCTTTACTCTCAGACTGGAGGCAGGCCAACAGGAAAAACTGAGGCCACAGAGGACATGGTACTCAAGGTTTCCATCTGTTAGGAGTCAGAGCTGGGCTGCAGGCTCCAATCCCACCAGCTGCCATTTGCAACCCTCCTCCTCACCTGTGTCCAGGGTGGGGGCCAAAGTCTCGGCCCCCATAGAGGTGCCAGATAAGAGAAACCTCCCGTAGCACCACACGACTGCTGGGCACTGGGAAGTGGGCAGGAGCCCGCAGCAGGTCTGTGCTGCCCAATGGCCGTGAGAAGTATCCATCCTGCACAACGATGGGGCCTGGATGCAGCTGTGTCACCACAGGCTCCCCATCTCGTGGCTGCCAGGAAGAGGACAAGCAAAGATGTGTAGCACAGAGGTGGTTCCCCCAGCCAGTCCCCCAACCCCAGCTCCTGTCTGTTTCTAGGCTCCCCCCACCATCATTACATCTCCCTCTCCTTCTACTCCCTTTTTGACAAAAAATGGCCCTCCTAGGCTACTATCCCGAGTGGTCTGCCCAGGATGGCCTGAAAGATCCTTGCCCCTGCTACCTGTCTCCCTGACACCTTGATGAGTTTGAACATTCCCACAGGCCCTTACAGCCACATGTCCCCTCTCCTCTTCGTAACTGTCCCTCTTGCTCCACCCCCTCTTAGATGTCCCAGTCATCAGGCCTTCTCTGCCTCTGGAAATCCACCCGCTCCTTCAAGCCCACAGCCAAGATTGCCTCCAGTCTGCTTCTCTCATCCAAAGCTCTAGAAGAACTAAGCAACCACCTGAACATCCCCGATCCCAGGCCAAATGGCCAGCTGCCTGATGGATGGGTAACAACCGTGTTACCCCCTTCCCACACACCGGGATGCCCAGGCCAGGGGCGTCAAGGATGCAGAACTCATCACTGTCCAGAGTGTCTCCATCCCCTTCCTCCTCCTTTTCCTCTGTCTTAGCCTCAGAGCAGGACCCTAAGGTGCCAGTGGAGACCCCAGGAGAGGATGAAGGAGCCTGGGCCCCACTCCGTTCACCTGGGAACAGGTAGACTGAGATGGGTGAGGCTTGAGGGAGTGGACCACCTGTGGGAGAGAGGCCAGTGTGGGAAGATGCCGCTGGGGGTATCTGCTTGGGTCTGTGGTCCCCAGAGCTTCCCCACCCCACCTGAGGGCTGGGCCCGCTCTCGCAGGCTACGCTCAGTGTCCAGGAGGGCGTCAGTCAGGTCACGCTGGTTGATGAGGGCCGTCTCCACTGGGGGGAAGGAGGACAGGGAGGCAGGGCTCTCGGAGAGCTGGACCAGGCAGGGGAGGCGCGATGAGTGAGTACCAGGAGAGAGGGCCAGCCCAAGACTCCCCCAACCCAGGTTCTGAGGCTGTGCAGGGGAGGGGCCTGGCCAAGCTCTGGTAGTCTGTGTGGCCAGGCCTCACCTGTACCTTCTGACCGGCGATCTCCGTGGGGCTGGCGGGCCGGGGTGGGGGGTGCAGGTCACCCGCGCTGGTTACATACTGGAGCAGGTTGGCCAGCAGGGCACAGGAGTCGGCACAGCTGTGCATATGCACCACATTGGTGGAGCAGCGCAGCTCAAACAGCGGCTGGCTCTACAGGAGGGCGGCGGTATCAGCGTAGACCCCACTGCCCACCAAGTCCCCTGTGCAGGGAGGGTACCCCAGTTCTGTGGTGGTCAGCCTGCGAGGTAACCCACCAACCGGTTGGGCAAACTCCACCTCACACATAGGCAAACTGAGCCCAAAGAATGACAGGGCCTTGACCCAGGGCTGCTCATGGGAGTGGTAGTGAACCAACCCACTCATGCACCCCTCTACACCCTGAGAAGTCTTCTCTGCCCCTCCCCTCAGCCCAGGGACGTGGGGCCTGCTATCTCACTATACAGAAGAGGAAACTGGGGCCTCACAGAAGCCTTCAGACTCCAGAGGCCCCACTTCCACCTTGTCTACAGCTGCCCTTTGGTAATGGGGCCGAAACCCCCTATCCAGTCAATGTACATCAAGGGACACTACAGAGGCCTGGCCCCTCAGGAGGGTATGTGACTGCAGCCCAGGAAGAGAAGAGACCTCCTACAGGCTCCCTCAGCCACCGGTGACAGCTGTACTCACCAGTCTGCCCTCAGTGCTCCCCTTCCAGGTTTTGATCACAAGCTCTAGGAGGTCAACATCCAGGACACACACATAGTCTGGGACAGAAGGCAGAAGAAGGTTCTCATTTCCTCCTTCTACACAGCCCCCTCCCACAACAAGGAGAACCAGGTGTATCTTGGTGCTGCCCCGTGTGTACTTGGAGGGTTGGGGGAAACTGAGAACCAACCAACATGGGTGGGGACATTGGCTATTCCATGTGACAGGGGCTTTTTCCCTTAGAATGGGGGAGGCCAGCCCAGACCCTGCCCACCTCGCCGCAGATCCAGGGTCTCCACCTCACACTTGTCGGACAGGTACAAGGCAGAGTCATCGAGGATGAACCTGGTGGGGAACAGGGCTGAGAAGGGCCCAGGAGCCACTGCAGGTGGCAGCTCGGTGGCAGCCAGGCAGGGATGGGGCTCCTGCAGAGCAGCAGTGAGCCCCAGTCCCCAGATGTTGCCCTTTCCAGCCTCAGCACTCTTGTCTGTACGACGTGCAGAGTGGGCCCAGGCTCCTGAGTTGCAGACCAGGACTGCAGGCCCTCATTCTTAAAGAACTGCCAACTCTATCACCTCATTTTGGTCCTCACATGTCGGGGATATCCTCCCCCTATAGCATTTATTGTTCTTTTCTTTTTATTTATTTATTTGAGACAGGGTTTTACTACATAGCACAGGGTGCCTCAGCCTCCCAAGTACCAGGATTACAGGTGTATGTTCCGCCTAGCTTTTACTTTCATTTATTTGATTATTTTTTTGGTGTTGGGGATATAATTCAGGGCTTTACACATGCTAGGCAAGTGTAAAGTGACTTATACCTTCAGTACTACTGTTCTTTTAAAATAAGTCCTTGGAAGCCAGGCATGGTGGTACATGCCTGTAATCCCAGCTACTCGGGAGGTGGAGGCAGGAAGATTACAAGTTCAAGACCAGCCCAGGCTAAGTTATGGAGATCCTATTTCAAAAACAAAAACTGCAAACAAAAGGGCTGGGGTGTGGCTCAAGTAGTAAAATGCTTGCCTGGCATGCTTGAGACCCTGGGTTCAATCCCCAGTACTGCAAAAAATAAGTAAGTCATTGGGGCTGGGAGTGTAGCTCAGTGGTACAAGACTTGTCTAAAGTGCAAAGCCATGTGTTCCATCACTGTGAAGATAAATAAAATAAGTCCTTATTTTATTGCAACATAACATAAGCTTCTTCAAGATGCTTTAGAATACAGTAATAGCAGTGCCAGTGGCTCACGCCTGTAATCCTAGCTACTCAGGAGGCAGAGATCAGGAAGACTGAGGTTCAAAGCCAGCCCCAGGCAAACAGTTCATGAGACTCCATCTCCAACGAAATGAGAGCAAAATGGACTGGAGGTGTGGCTCAAGCGGTAGAGTGCCTGCTTTGCATGTGCCGAAGTCCTGAGTTCAAACCCCAGTTCCACAAAATAAATAAACAAATAAGAAAACTGAAGTCACTCAAATCTAACCCCAAATTCTGAGAAAACCACTATACGCACCTCCTAGTCTTTTCTATGCAGTTACACAGATAAATATATGTGAGTGTATATGTATATAGACGTAATACTTATATAAATATGCTTTCATAACATATTCTTTGGAACATGTAGTTTTTTTATCTAATTTTCCCTGGTAAGCATTGTAGTATGGCATTTTGTTCTATTTTTTAATATTATTCTACATCTTTATTCAGATCATGATTTGGGGACATTTATATTGTTTATAAGCTGGGCGCTAGTGGCTCACGCCTGTAACCCTAGCTACTCAGGTTCGTGGTTCGAAGCCAGCCTGGGCAAACAGTCTGGCCTATCACAGAAAAGCACTGCTGGAGTGGATTGAGGTATACGTCCTGAGTTCAAGCCCCAGTACCACAAAAGAAGAAAAAAAAAAATTTATAAGTTTGGGCTGGATTGTGGTACCAGGGAATGGAACCCAGGGCCTCCCGCATTCAAACACTCTATCATTGAGCTGTACCCCAGCCTGGACTGTTTTAAATCAAACTACAGAGACATTGTAGTCCATCTCTCTTATCCCTACGGGGTGAGCCCAGAAGTGAGATTACCAGGTCAGAGAACACTAATGCAGTTCAGGCTCTCATTTGAGGGGCCTAGCTCCTCTCCAGGAAAGCGGAGGAAACTCACATTCCTGAGGATGCACGTGAGTACATGGCGGGCCATCGCCCCAAGCGTGGACAGGTTTAGAGAAGCCCTAGGAGCACACACAGCAGGTAGGTAGCTGCAGCCCAGCTGGGGGTGAGAGGGCCTGGGTGCGCGGGGCAGCCTGCATACCTGAGCAGGAAGGTCGACGTGTCCATGACAATGTTGCTGGAGAGGGTGAAGGTCTCAGCAGTGACAAGGACGCGCACAGGGAGGTAGAGGGGCCTGGGGGGGGAGGGGGCGTCACATTTGGGCTGAAGCAGGCTCCTTATACCTGATGCCTATCCCTGCTACCCCTCTCCCCCACTACCTGTCCAGCCTGGGTACCTGTAGTCCACGGCGCAGGAAAACAGGTGTGTGTGCAGGACAGTGATGACCGTTGGGGGCAGGTAGCCCAGCACAGGGTCATCGAGCACGTCTAAGAACTCCAACAGCTTCAGAGACCAGGAAAGAAGGGGACAGTGAGGAAAGGCAGCTTTCTCCCTCATTTAGTACCCCTCCTGGCTTGGTCCAGTCTGGTACCCCATTTGCTGCCTATCAGTTGTCCACCATGTCTCTTGAGGGGGACTCCAGCCAAAGTCAGCTCCAGTCCAGCCCATGGTCCACACTTGGGCCACCCGGCTCTGTTTGACTTGCTCACCCAAACCAGAAGTCCACAGTCAGTGGGCCATGTGCCTTCTCAGGCTACCTTGCTCACCTGGGAATGCCAGCTCTGTTCAGGCAGGGCCATGTAATGACGCAGGGTAGCTTTGTGCAACCGCAGTGTCACCAGGAACTCCTGAGGGTAGAGGTTCATTCAGGACAGTGGGGAGCCCAGGCCCAGTAGGCACCAAGAAGCAGGTACCTGGCCAAGTAGCTGAAGGACAAGTAGGAAAGCTGTACCTTGATATTCTTGTGAGGGTCCAGGTGGATGCGCACAGCAGCAGACAGCATGGGGGAGCCCTGACCCTGGCCCTTGCGGCCTGAGGCTCCCCGCTCAGTCACCCCTTCCTCTGATGGGTAGATGGTTGGGGCCAGCTGGGCCGGGGGAGCAAAGCTAGATGGTTCCAGGTGACTGGGCTGCAGATAGTTGTCCACGGCCGCTGAAGAGGAATCTTGTGAGCTAGCTGACCCCTCCGCTCAGGGCCTGTCCCTCCTGAAAGCCCCCTACCCTGGCCCTAGATATGCAGTGGCACCCAGCCCCCAGCCCTCACACCTCGGTGGTAAAGTGTTGCCTTTTCGGCTTCCAGGCAGAAGTAGCCAAGCCCCGGCTGACTGTGGTACTGGGAGACACTGAAGATGGTGCCATGTTCTATATCCAGCACCAGCTCCCCGTGTGTGGCCTCCAGGCGCTTCCCAGCCTCATCCTGCGGACAGAATGTGTGCCTGACTTCACTGCTATGCCCAGCAGCTGCCACAACTGAGAACAGGCATCTTCAGGAGCCCTGGCCTGTGGGGCTACTCCGGCTCCTGTAGGCCCACAGCACTTGCCTCTTGCCCAAGGAGAAGAATTCCACCCCATCAGCCTCCTGGGGACCAAATGGTCCCCATTCTGCCCTGGGACTGGGGCTTTACATGGAGGAGGGGTAGTGAGTGTGACAGGGCAAGGGGGCTGGCAGGTGTGGGTCAGGGGGTGGTGGTGGGCACTGCTGGCCACCTGTGTCTCCTGCTTGCCACATTCCTGACCCAGGGATGCCTCACCTTGGCCTCACAGAAGGCTGTGATCCGACCTTTTAGCACTGTCACCAGGGTAGAGAAGGTACTCTGTGAGTGACGACTTGGGGGCTCAGGGACGGGAGCCTGGGGAGCACCTGATGTCCCCACTGAGAAGAACTGGGCATCTTCCTCATCTGAGTCCGAGTCTGGGGTGAGATTAAGGTGGCTGGGTGGGAAGTAGACCGGGAGGACTGGCCCAGCCCTGCTCACACCATTAGTCCTCACTCCAGCCCAGGTAGCGCACCCCTCTTACCCAGCTTAAAGGCTGACTTGCACATCTTGAAGCTGTCATGCCAGAAACCTGAGGAGCCAGGGAAGTCAGTGGGGTGAGTGGTGGAGCCAGGGGTGGGAAGCAGGTCCGCGGGCTCCCACATGAGCAAGTCGTTGTTGATCCTGTCACAGGAGGATGGATAGCAGAGGTGAGAGACGACAGGGCCCAGACTCTCACCCAGCCCTGTCTACGCCGTGTCTCCACCTGTTGTAGATGCTTTCGTAGACCTCTTTGCTGGGTAGGAAGATGTGGGCATTGGGCAGGATCAATTCCAGGCTGCAGCGGGACAGCGCCAGGGTCCGGCTCTGGAAAGTCCTCATCTCTTCAGGGTCTCCAGGGATTACCATCTGGACAGAGGGTGGGCAAAGAGACCTCAGCAGAAAAAAGCCTGTTTCTAGCTCCAGAATCTGCGCCTTGACCTCCAATCATTCATTAGTTCATTCATACACACATACATACATAATACATAAAAATCTATTCACCCATCCATCCATCCATCCATCCACTAATTCCTAGGAGCCCTTCCCTGCCAGGGATGTGTGATTCCTGTGTAGGATACAGTGCCTGTGGTTTGCCAGTCCTCCTTTAAGAGCTTCACAAATGTAAGGGCTGGCAGAGTGGCTCAAGTGGTAAGAGCACATGTCTAGCAAGCATCAGGCCCTGAGTTCAAACCCTAGTGCCACCAAAAAAACCCAAAAAACCAAATGTGAACCCCTCTAATCTTCACAATGGCCTACCAGGCAGAAGCCCTTGTGTCCACTTCTCAGAGGAAGAAACTCATCTGTAGGCACCTCCCCAAGGTGACCCAGTCACTGAGTGGCAGAGCCTGCATTTGAACCTAGGCAGTTTAGCCCTGCAGGCCAAGAGCTTAACTGCCTCACAGCCCTCATCAATTTCAGAGAAGGGGATACTGAGGCCCACGTGTTCACTGGTGATAGACAGATGAGGTGGCCAGGTTCTGATCTTCCTGACCAGTGCATTTCCTCCCGACCTCTGAGCAGGGCTGGGTACTTCATATTCCCTCATCAGAAATAATGGTAGAAGTAAAATCCTCACATCATGCCCACCCCAGGTGTTCCTGTCATCCTGACACACAGTCACATAGGTGGCTTCCAGAGCAGAGTCCAGGGGGCAAAAGAGGTAGGGAGGCCCCAGGAAGAGGTGGGTCCAGGGCTTACCTCCTCCGTCTCATACATGGTCCTCTTGGAGGAGAAGGGCGAGGGCTCAGGCTCCCGCAGCTCGCATGGACTTTCAGTGGACATCTCCAGCTCCTCGCCTTTCTCTGTGGCTGTCTCCCACTGTGTGCCATTGGACTGGGGGTTCAAGGTCACCACTACCCTGCCAGGCATAGATTGTCACTGGCTGCAGAGCTCCTGGCACCTGGGCCTCAGCTGGCTTCCTGCCACCCCCAAGAAGCAGACCCTACCTCCCCAGCTATCCCTTCCCTACTTACTGGGGCAGGAAGTACTTGTGTCCAGTACTCTTGGGGTCTGGGGCTTTGGAGACCCGCAGGCAGGGGATGGGTGGCTTCTCCCCATCTTCGTAGATTCCTGGGGGGATGGGAGGGTGGGGTGTCACTGCTGCCCCTTTACTTTTCTTCCCCACTGCAGGTCAGGTCGTCACGTGTGGTTTTCAGTGGCTCAAGGGTAAAGAGTTCACTTTGCCCACTGCCCCAAAGAGAAGGTAGGGGCCTGTGCCAGGGCCTGCTCCAACTATGACCCAGCTCATTCCAGGTATCCCCAGGGGGCTCTTACCATGCAGGTCAGAGCAGATAAGTTCCAGGCGAGTGGAGCCTGGGGGTCCAGGCCCACTGCTAAGCTCTGACCGGAACTGGGGCTCACTCAGCTCCAGCCGCAGCTGCTCAGCCCGTACAGCCCGGCCTGCCCAAGGGTCCCGCTCAGGCCTCAGGTCAGCAATGGGGAAGCGCAGCCTCAGGGTAGCCCGGGGTGCTGAGAGCCGAAACACTGTCTGCTGCTCAGTGACTGGCAGGGGTTCTGTCTGTGGAAGGGTTAGAGATCAGAACTCCACCAAAACCCCAACCAATGTGGTCAAGTCCTGCTCCACACCCCAGCACGGCCCAGCAGGACATCTTACCAGCAGACCAGTGGCAGGTGGCTCAGGGGGTGTGGTGGCCAGGTGCAGCAGGGCAGCAAGCCGGTTCAGGGTCCCCAGATCCACGTCTGCTTGGAAGTCAGCCAGATCCAGGGCCAGTTCTGAGTGGCAATGGCAGGTAGCTGAGCGTCGGGACCGGCTCTATTTGGGGGTAAGGGTGTTCAGATCAGTAAGGGCTATGGGATGGGTGAGGGCAGGATAGGAAGGGGCTCCCTCAAGCAAAAACAAATCCTTAAGCCCACTCAGTGGTGGGAGAAGAGCTTAGGCAGGGGACCCAGGAGGGAACTGGGTGGGGGGAATTTTTAACATCCTATCATTTACTTAACAGAAATCACCAAACACTTGCCCCTCCCAGCCTCAGAGGCCCAGCGGAGGGCTGCCACATTGAGACAGGGAAGGGAAACCCAGGCTTTGAAAATGGCATGGTCAGAGCACAGAGATATGCAAGGGGCCCTGGGGGGGATGACAAGGGGTTGCTGACTGAAGCACAGGCCAAGGAGGGCCAGGACCGGAACAGGGGAGACACTGGCAGAGGCCAGGGTGGCATCAACACACTGTGGGAAGCAATCAGCTCCTCTCAGCCTGGAGTAGGGTGGGGGTTACCTTGGGCACCCGGCGCAGGATCTGTGTATGGCGCAGGTGAGCACAGGGCCGAGCTGAGGCCTGGGAACCCAGGTTACTAGAGAAACTTAGGATCTGGAATGGGGACATGGGAGGTGAGCAGGGTCAGGCTGGCTCTTCTGCCCCCCAACCCTTCTCTATCTCCCCAGGTCCCACCTCAGCCCTCACCTCTGTGTACTCAGGCTCTGAAGAGCCCCTGGGCCACAGACACTCCAGCACCTCCAGCTGCCCAAAGTGCACTTCTGTGCTGGTTGTCCGCCGGCCCCGGCTGCCTGCCCGCAGCTCCCAGGACAGCTGCACGGCCATGCCTGTGAGTCTATAAGAAAGGAAGTGGGTGTCAGAGGGTGAGTGTGGGGACTCTGAGAGTCTCTACAGATCCTTGCCTTGGGCTGGGGATCATACCGGACATGACTGCAGGGGCAGGCTCTCTGGAAACGTGGCCGAAGGTGGTGGAAGTCTCGAGACCCAAAAGGCCCATCCTTGGAGGCATCAAACTCAGCAAAAAAGTGAGTAGCGAGGTCAGGTGGTCCGGAAGATGGGGCAGATGTCTGAAGCAAGGTCAGGGTCACACCACCCAAGGTCATCTTCAGCAGCGAGTCAGGGCGCATGGTGCCCGGAAGGGGAGTGGGGGCTGCCTTGCCTGAGGGAACAGAGATTTCACAAGTGTTCCTGGGAACTCGTGGGTACTCTAGGTGGAGTGACAGTTGGTCATGGAGCTGGGGGCTGGGAAAACTCTGGCTAAGCTGGACTGTGGGAGGCCAAATCTGTCTCATTGTGTGGTCTGGAAGGGAACTTAGTTAGGCAGGGGTCATACCAAATTCCTCCTGCCTCCTAGCAGAGGCCAGACCTTTTGCTCAGGCTCAATTTAACCCTCTCAAGGCACTAGAAGAGGGCTGGCGGAGTGCTGCTTAGCAACTCTAGTGATAGAGCGCCTGCCTAGCAAGTGTGAGGCCCTGAGTTCAAACCCCAGTACTGCCAAAAAAAAAAAAAAAAAAAAAAAAAAAAATCAAGGCACTAGAAGAACTGACTGATGGGATAAGGCACCAGACCAGCACCTGATCCACAATAAGCTCTCAAAAATATTGATTAAAGCATATAGCCTGATCTAACTGTATCCTTTTGTAGAAAGGGAAACTGAGTCTCAAAAAGTTAAGTGCTTGGTCAAGAGTAGTGACTCAGGAAGCTAGGCCCCATGCTTTGTATCACCAGCTTCCTGAGTTAGGTCCTGGGGAACTGAGATCACTGATGGTGGGTCTCCAGGCATTCTTGGGACTTCTTGCATGCATCTGACATCCCACTGTGTAAAAGTCTCTTCCAGCTCTCCTTTCCCCTGGAGACTTCCCAAGGTGCCTGACTCACCTGTTGTGTGAGCCAGGGCAGAGAGTCGACGGGAGGCCATGTTGCTGTGCACAGAGGAGCCCAGGTCTACATCAGAGAGGGAGAGCTCAGAGACGGCTGAGGCCACGCTGCTTGTAAGACCAGCCATGGAGAAGAAGAGGTCTGGAGGTGAACCAAAAGACGTCAGGGACAGACAGGCTAGGTCCAGGCTCTTGCACTCACACAAGCTGCCCCTCCAACCTGCGTTGGCCCTGTACCCACCAGTGCTGTCCAGGTTGAAGAGGGGGTTGGTCAGAGGGTCTGGGCTGATGGGCTCTACCACAGCGCCCGCCTGTAGCTGCTGGTTCAGATCCTGCTCAATCAGCCACAGGTCTTCAGCACCTAGTGGGCGGCTCTTGTTCAGCTTGTCAGCTAGATCTTTGGGATCTGTAGGAAGGATGACATTTCAGTCCAGGCTGGCTGACCATTCCCACCCCCAACACTCCCGGTCTGCCCAGAAGCCTCACCTGCAAGGCTGACAGCACTGAGCAGTACCTGAAGCTGTTGGAGCTGCCGTGGGGTCAGGAGCAGGTGCAGGGAGCCCAGCTGTCCTGCCACTTCCAGCTGGGGGCAGAGAGACAGCCATGGTTATGCTTACCACTTAGTCCCTGAGAGCTGTTATCCAATTGCCCTCACTCTGGGTAAGTGCAATGCCAGTTGTCAGGCTAAACTCTGTTACCAACTAGCTGTATGAATCTGGCCACAACCTGACTGCTCTAAGCCTCAGTTACCAAGGTCATAATTTCCTTGACACTCCCTCTCTGGCCTGGGAATGATCAGCACTGCTGAGGATGGGTCTAAGATCGAGTGCACACACTCCTCCCGGGGGCCTGAGGACCCACCTTGGGGCCTGGGAAGGCCTCATTCTGTTTTATCTTCACCATCAGCTCCATGTACCCTGAGCAGCTGCCAATCTGTAAGGGGGGCTCTGGCAGTTTTACCTGAGAGGTAGGGAGTTGAGAAGATAGAGTCAGAGACAGTCAGAGGGATGGGAGGGCTGTCCGGAGCCTCAAGGATGAGGGAAATCAGTCAACCCACCTGTGAGGGGAACTCCTCAAAGTGCAGACGGACCCCTGCCAGCTGCAGCAATTTGTGCAGGAAGGCAGGTGGCTGGTGCACGTCCACAGGTGGTGCCTGGCTTGGGTCCCGCACTGCTTCATCACAATACTCCAGTCTGTAGAGAGGAAGGTCAACCTTTCTCTGGGCCACACCAGACCCAGAGCCCTTTTTCCACACAATGCTATGTTCTAGGGCCGCGGAGTTGGGCCTGCAGAGCTGTCCACCATAACCTGGCTACCATGGACTGCCATGTCCAGGCTTAGAGGCTCAGCCAGCCCTCTGACCCTTAAGTGTCTAACCTGGTCCTTGGGGACCTAGCCACTCTGGGCATACATCCTCTGTCCCTGGACACCAGTGCAGGTTCCCAACATAGCCCAGTTCTCCTATCCTACCATTCACCCAGGCCCACTCACAATCCCTGATGCTTCCCAGGAGCCTGGCGAGGAGTGGGGTGGGGGAGGGGCAGAGCCAGTGACCAGCTTCTGCACTCCTACCTTTGCACATGGACCTCTACAGCCATGCCAGGCTCCCCATCACCCGGCGTGTGCTCCACCCTCACGACAGTGTCCAGGAAGGTCACCTTGATCCTCCGCAGCACTGTGGGAGGTGTCTCAGGTCAGGTGGAGTAGAAAGAAGGGAAGTAATCTCCCATCTATGCAGCAAGGGAACCATGCTGCTGTCTGAGGCCCTTGTCCTAGAGGCCACGGAGGGGCCTGGAGCAGGATGGCCAGAAGGGGCCAGCTCACCAGTCTCAATGGTCTGGGCGAACATTTCCAGCCCCTCTAGGGGCTGTGGTGGCTCAGAGGGTTCAGGCAGTCCATCCCGCAGACACTCCTGAGCCAGCTGCAGGCTTGTGGTCATGCATGAACCCCAGCTCTGTGAGTCAGCAGCCCCTGGCCCTGTGGGGAGAAAGAGGGTCTCAGGAAAGGCAGGTTCAGGCAGCTCCTGGATGCCCAGGCCCACCTACCACCACCACTTGCCCACCCCTCACCTGGACCCTGGCGGGGCTGCAGGGTGAGTTGAAGGCCTGACACACGCACGGTGCAATGGTCTGTGAGCAGTGCAGCCCAGGGCACAGCCACCTCGATGGAGCCCACAAAGCCTTCTGCCAGCTCCAGTGGCCAGTCCATCGACTCCAGCACCTCGTTCACAGACTGGGAGCAGTAAGGGGACAAAGTCAGCTCACTGAAGCCCCAAGTTCAGTTGCCTGCCACAGCCTTGTAGAGTCACTCTGCCTTGGAGAGCACCCTGTCCCTCTGTGTGCAGTCTACAAGGCTCTAACTGGGCTCCTGCTGTTCCTTAACCCTTCGCCCCACCATCAGAATGTGCTCAACCCTTCAAGCCAGCTCAAATGTTTTCCTCTTCATCAGTTCAAAAAGCCACTTACTGAGCACCTTCCATGGGCTGACATGGAGGCTGCATGGGTAAATAAATATCTTCATCCCCCAGCCTAGCTAGGCTGCAACAGGGACTCAAAGCAGGCTAGGATAAAACTCAAGAGTTGAGCAGGAGAGCCTGAACTAAACCCTACCTGAGCACACGGAGGAGGTGAGAGCTGAAGGGTGAAGAGGAGACAGCCAGAGGACGGTAATGAGTGGTGGTGTGCTCCAGGCGTGGGAACAACAGGGGCACAGGCCTGGCAGAGGGGGTGGCAGCAGCCCACATTCACCAAGGACAAGAAGAGTTCAAGGAGAGAGGAGCTGACCTGAAGCCACAGGGGACCCCAAGCCCAAGACATGTAGCCTAGCTAAACCTCTCTCTGAAGCACTAAGGCCCCAGTAAAAATGGCTGTGCTGGGGATGCACCTTGCCAGCCTTTTCCTGGTGACTCTGGGTGCTCTGTGTGGCATAACCAGAGAGGGCCTCTGTACACATTTGCTGGACCCGTCAATAAACTAGCCATGGTTGGGGAAACTGAGGCCTAGAAAGGAACTAGTATAGGCACCCTGTGTACTATGAGGTCCCTAAGGCAGGAACCCAAGCCTTTCTCCCCAACCCACCTGAGTGCCCAGGCATACAGCTGCTTTGGGGACTTTTAAGCCCATTAGCTGGGAAGAGGGTTTGGTTAGCAAAGGGCCCGCATCCTACCAGAGGCCAGGCTGGAAAGCAGCCTAGCTAGAAGCCCCATCGATCCCCAAAAAGGCAGGGCATGGAGGCATGGAAGTGTTTAAGGTGTGGGCCATCTTTCAGGCCAAGTAAGAGGCTGAGGTCAGAGAAGCCTCCCATAACTAGACCTCATAGAGAACAGGCTGGGAAGTGCCACTGACTCCCAATACACATTTGCTCCCAATTTGCTCAGGGGCAGGCCCCTGAGGCCAGCCAGAAATAGAGATGGCCCTGCCCCCATGCCTACTACCTGATTTGGACCTGCAGGGATGATCCAGTACCAGCCCTAGCTGGTGCTTCTAATTGGTGTCCCAGGTCAGCTGAGCTGTGAGTCAGGGCCCCTCACCCCTGGCCCCCAGCATCTTCCTCAGCCTCCTTCTTGCCTGAGGCCAGACCTCCACACCTTTCCTGGAGGACTGCCCAGAAGGCAGGGATGGCAGGTCCCAAGTCCCTCCCCAAACATGGGTTCAGTCAGTCCCACTCCTCCAAAATCAGGAAGTAGGCAGCAGCTGCAGTCACACGAGGTGTTGATCAACACAGGCTGACGCGGTTGTTGACATCCACACTCGGAGGGAACCCCACCCACCGGGCTCAGGATCACAGGGTCAGGGGGTCAGGGCGCATGTTCTACAGGTGCCCTCAGCAGGGCTCTAGACCCCCACTAGCCGTACTTGATCAGCTGCCCGGGCCCCAACTCTGTCACTGGCCTGGCCGCACTCCATCGCAGTCCCCCAGTCCCCAGCTCCCTCCTCCCTCCCACCCCCTCTGCCCCAGGGCACCCCCTGATCTTTTCAGCCCTCAAACTGGATGCGATTATACTGACACTCCAGGCAAGTGACATCCCGCTCCCCCGCCTGCTTCTCCCCCAGGAGGAAGAGGCAGGGACCCCTTCACTCCCAGAGTCTAGGAACTGAAGCCACCACGGGGTGTCTGACGCCCGGACAGGGCCCCGACTCCCCTGGCCTCTCCACGCCTGGTGCCTGGCCCTCCAGCCCGATCCTTTCGCCCGGAGCCTCAGTCGCTGCGCTCCGGCCCTCCGCACCTTCCCGGGCTCGGGCACGGCTCCTCACCCAGTTCTCCAGGTGGATATCCCGCAGGGCAACGCTGCCCTTGTACAGATCCAGGCTGAGCTGATCCAAGCTGAGGTGCTCCTGGAAGAAGTGACCCAAGTAGTGGTGCAGCAAGTAGCGGCAGACGCGCTCTTTCACACAGTTCGACCATGGCCATAGCCATCGTGACATCTCGGAGACCGCCGGGCCCGGGCCGCCTCCACTTGCCGCCTGCCGGGGATCCCAGTCCGGCTGCGCTGTTCACTAGAGCCCGCGGCTCGCCCCGCCGCTTCTCTCAGCACCAGGCCGCGCCCCCGGACGCCCAGCCACGCCCCCCACGCTCACTGCCATTGGTTATTGCAAAGGGCGAGGCCCACTGATTGGCCGCGGGGGGCGGAGTCTTCGGGAGTGAAAAATGGACTGGGCTCTCTGCAAGATACAGCGCTCTCAGTCATCATTTACGCTTGCGTATAAGTACTGAGTGGGAGGACCTTTAACCTCGGGCTACAAGCTCCGGGACGGCTGTTGTGGTAGGGACCAGTCCTGCAGAGGAATGCGCATGTGTAGACTCGTCCGCCTACTTTAGGTAGTTGGGAAGAATTTAAAGGGACAGTGACCCACCAAACTTCGCGGTAGGTTTCCCAGAGGAATAAAGTCAGTGTGAGATCTGCAGCGTGCATCTCAGAAACACGTGAATACACATTTGCATTTTACAAAGCGTTTTATCATCTTTTATCCCATTCAACTCTTATTTCGAGGCAGGGTTCACTATGTAGCTCAGGCTGGCCTTGAACTCACGATCCTCCTACTTCAGCCTTCCTAGTGCAGAGATTACAGGAGTGAGATTACAGGTGTGAAACACCATGCCCAGCTTCATTCAATTTTTTTTTTTTTTTAAACTCTAAAGTAGGGATTACTGTCACCACTTTACTGGTTAGAAAACAGGTTTACAAAGGTCGCCTAGCCCATCACCAGAAAGGTTTTCTCCACTCCTCACTAAGGAATGATCAGCAGATTAACTCACTCTCCCTTCCCTCTTCAACTACTCAGGCCTTGGGGCCCTCCCTGGAATAATAATAATAATAATAATAGCTTTTCGTAGCCCTAATCCTAAAATCAATAAAGAATGGATTCTACCTCCCTGGAGTTGGGATATATTGTTTGCTGCCGCCTCTGGGCTTAAAATCCCTTTTACATTTTTAAATGGTTGGGGAGAAAAAAAATCCAAGGAAGAATAACACTTCATGACATGAAAATCCTGTGAAATTCACATTTCAGTGTCCACAAATACAGTTTTAATGGAGCACAATCATAAACACCCTCTAGACCTGCTTTCTTGCTATGTGGTAAAATTGAATATTTGAGGCGGAGGTGGCAGAGGTAGGGTCTGCAAAGCCTGAAATATTTATTTTCTGACCTTGTACTGAGAAAACTTGCCCTCCAACAGTGTTGGCCACAAAACTTCTTTTTTCTCTCTCTCTTTTTTTTTTTCGTGGTACTCAAGTTTGAACTCAGGGTCTACACCTTGAGCCACTCCACTAGCTCTTTTGTTTGTGAAAGGTTTTTTCGAGATAGGGTCTCTCAAACTATTTGCTGGGGGCTGGCTTGGAACCTCGATCCTCCTGGTCTCTGCCTCCTGAGTAGCTGGGATTCCAGGCATGAGCCCCTGGCTCCAGGCGCCACAAGACTTCTTACATCACAGGAGAATTAAGGAACATTCATGGTCAGTTATGGTTCTAGTTTAGCTTTACTATGTATTTGAACATTATTTGGGTCAAATGCCAAAAATCATCTTGAATCATGGGCAACCAGCCATCCTGTCATTCCCCCCACCCCCTGCAGTTTAGATTAGGACAGTAGGCAGGGCAGCTCATTCCCTGGAAGGGATTGAGGAAGAGCCCCGGGCAGGGTGTGGGGGGGAAGGTGTCAGAGTGGCTCAAGTGGTAGAGAACTTTCCTAGCAAGTACAGGTCCCTGAGTTCAACCTCCAGTACTGCAAAAATAAAATAAATAAATAAGAGAACTTGGGAAACTCTGGGAAGGCCCCATTCAGGGAGACAAGCTGGTATAATGGCTGTTCAGAAAATGTTTGTGTAATGAGACAAGAGATCTGCCTGTCTTCCTTGACATACCAGGGACAGTGATGTGCTCATTAATTGTGTATTAAATTAGCAATAATAAGGCTGGGTGTGTGGTACACATCTATAATCCCAGTACCTGGGAGGCTGAGGCAGGAGGAGCTCAAGTTCAAGTCTATTCTGGGCTATATAACAAGACCCCATCTCAAAAACCCAAAATAAAATAGTAGAAGTAATAGACATGTTGGGTAGCAGTGGCTCACACCTATAATCCTAGCTACTCAGGAGGCAGAGATCAGGAGGACAGGGCTGGTGGAGTGGCTCAAGTAGTTGAGTGCCTGCCTAGAAAGCATGAGGCCTTGATTTCAAACCCTGGTACCACCAAAAATAGAAATAAAAAATAAAGTAATAATAGATACCATGAATTGAGTTCATGTGATGTCCTAGGTCCTAGGCTTGTTGTTTTGTGAATTATCTCTTCTCTTCTCTGCATAAGCTCATAAGGGAGGCACTATTAACTGGCCCATTTTATGGTAGAGAAAACGGAGGCATATGCCCAAAATCTAAGGAGCAAGTGAATGAATACACTCCATTCTTCCAAAGGCAATGGGAGTGCAAGGGTTCATTCTTCTGGTGTCCAGGAAAGTGCCTAGTCTAGTAGGGGCATCCCATTCCTCTCCTGTGAGAATAGAGTGCACCATGTGGAAAGACTGGGGACACAGGGTCACTCTTATCTAGAGCCCTAGCCTTCCCTGAGGTGGCTGCTTCCGGAGTCCACTGGTCCGGGATCAGGCTGCATTCACATCTGTCTCTAGGGATTGGTGGCTGTGAGTTCATTCCTGAGACTGATTCCCAGTGCAGTGTGTGCCTCCCAGCCCAGCATTAGACAGGACTGCAAGGGGACACAAGGTCAGTCTGCCACCTTCCCCAGGACCTTACCTAACTAACTAATGAACTTCGAATGGTCATCCACCACAGGGCCCAGGCAGGCCTCGGAGTAGGAACTAACAAGTGAATACAAAATACCGGGGACTGATGGCTCATACCTGTAATCCTAGCTACTTGGAGGCAGAAATCAGATGATTGTGGTTCGAAGCCAGCCCCAGCAAATAGTTTGAGAGACCCTATCTCAAAAAAACCCATTACTCAAAAGAAAAAAAAAAAAAGGGTTGGGAGTGGCTGAAGTCCCCGAGTTCAAGCCCCAGCACAGCAATACAAACAAACAAATACTGGCAGAGTAAAGGGAACAACAGTCTGTTGGGAGGGAATGTGGTGCTGGGGACCCCGCTCATGTAAGAGGAGCTTAAACTGCTTTTGCTGAAAACATCTGATTCTTTCTTGGGCCCACGAATTAACTAATAACAGGAGAAAAGCATGGCATCTGTCCTCTGTTTTTCCATTCTCTCTGCAGTCACCCTGCAACCACCTTGGATTCCAGGAAAGATAGAATGATAACATCTTCATAACAAGGGAGAGAAATGATCCCAACAGTAGCCCTTTCTCAGGATGGACCGCCTGCCAGTTGACAATAAATCCAGATACCAACTCTGAAACCTCTCCCAGAACAAGAATTGAGATAAGGAAAAACTAGAACACATCTGTGACTGAACTGTTTAACTATGCATACCTTTGTCCCCTGACCCCAGTTCTTTGTCTACTTAAACCTTTAGCTCATGTCTGTACCACGAAGATGGCTGAAGATGAGCTGAGTGCTTACTTTGCCTCTTCCCACAGCATGTCCCAAGGCATGAAATAAATCTCCGTTCTCTGCTTTCACCATGCCTCTTTATTTGGTATTTAGAGGCAGCTGGCCGGACCTGGCATATGGAATCTCAGGATTTTGGGCCTTGGTTTCACTGGGCGTTTCAAGTTCAGCAGTCCTAACAAATACACTGGCCCTAGGCAGTGCACTGCAAGACTTCTACTGGAGGATGCAACCCCAATAAATTCCAGGTGCTGAAGGATGGGGCCAGGGGGAGGGCCAGGCTTTGTCTTGGAGTTACCTTAGATTAGGTAGAAAGGCCTCAGGAAAACTGCTCCAGGCCTCAGGGGCTAAGCAGTTTGTTTCTTCCCCCAAGGATGGCCTGCGTGGTACCACCCTCCAGGATCTTCCTTTGTGAGATCCCGATCAGGATGCTTTTTTTTTTTTGAATGGGACTGAGGTTTGAACTCAGGGCTTTTCACTTGCAAAGCAGGCACTCTACTTGTGCTGGAGACCTCAAGAACTTTTTTATAATCCTAGCTACTCAGGAGGCAGAGATCAGGAGGATTGTAGTTCAAAGCCAGCCCTGGAAAATAGAGCAGGAGACCCTATCTTAAACCCATCACAAAAAAGGGCTGGTGGAGTGGCTCAAGGTGAAAGCCCTGAGTTCAAACCCCAGTACCACAAAAAAAAAAAAAAAAAAAAAAATTTCCTGGGCTGGCCTTGAACTGCAATCCTCCCAATTTCAGCCTCCCTAGTAGCTAGGATTACAGATGTGAGTCACTGGTGCCTGGGGGCTGCGGCTCTTGACTTGATCCTTGGTAGGGGATGGATTTTATTTGAGGGAAGGGCTTCCCAGGAGGAAGATAGGCTGCCATAATGGTGAATGGAGCTGTAGGGAGGAGGTGTCTATGAAGATGAGGAACAGGGCGTCTAGGCCAAAGGAGTTCTACAGAGTAGCATGGGGCAGTCAGGAACACAGCTGGATCTGGACACACCTGAACAGAGATATTTCTTTCAGGAGTACACTAAAAACCGTTGAATTGTACAACTAAAAGGGCTGATTTTTTTTTCTTTTAGTTTTTGCTTTGTTTTGAGTATATTTCTCTATCACAATAATAATGCATTTTGTTTAAATTGTGGTAAAACACACATAATACATAGTTTCTCATCTTGTGTTTCCAAGTGCTGGGTATCAAAATCAGGGGCTGCCTCATGCTAGGCAAATTCTTCACTACTAAAATACATCCCCAACCCTAAAATTTACCATCTTGTTTGTTTTTTGGTGGGTCTGAGGTTTGAACTCAAGTTTTGTGCTTGGAAAGCAGGCATTGTAATACTTGAGCCACACCTCCAGTCCATTTTGCTCTGGTTATTTTGGAGATGGGGGTCTCTCAAACTGTCTGCCAGGATTGGGCTAAAACCGTGATCCAATCTCAGCCTCTCAAATAGCTAGGATTACAGGCACGCACACTGGTGCCCAGCTGTTTTTTGTTTGAGACAGGGTCTCAATATGTAGCTCAGGCTTGGGTTGAACTCACAGTCCTCCTGCTTCTACTTCCCAAGTGCTGGGGTTACAGGTATGTGTCACGATGACAAGCATTTTCCATCTTTATTTTTTCTTGGTGATACTGAGGTTTGAACTCAGGGTCTCAAGATTGCTAGACATGTGTGCTACCATTTGAACCATTCCACAAGCCCTTTTTTGTGATGGGTTTTTCTAGATAGTTTCTTGCAAACTATTCGCCTGGAGGCTGCCCTCCAACAGTGATCCTCCTGAGTAGCTAGGATTATAGGTGTGAACCACTGGTACCCAGTAGTTTTTGCCATCTTCTTTTTTTTTTTTTTTTGTGGTACAGGGGCTTGAACTCAGGGCTTTCACCTTTTTTTTTTTTTGTGGTACTGGGGGTTTGAACTCAGGACCTCCTACTTACTAGGCAGGTACTCTATCATTTCAGCCACTCCACCAGCCCCAGGGCCTTCACCTTGAGTCACTCACTCTGCCAGCCCTTTTTGTGATAGGGTTTTGCAAACTATTTGCCCAGGCTGGCTTCAAACCATGATCCTCCTAATTCCAAAATGGGTGAAATTTAAGGTATGTTCATAGTATGCCAATGAAGCCATAAAAAAGCAAAGAATTTTGAATCCTGTGCCCCTCCCTCCAGTTGACCTTGTGTCTATTTTGAGACTTAGTTTAAATGCCACTTCTGGAGCCAGGGGGAGAGTGCTTTGCTAACATACGCAAACCCTCGGCTTCCGTCCCCATAAAACAACAACAATAACAACAAATGCCACTTTTTCCAGATGTCTTATGCCTCTCCTCCGCTTTTCAGTCTCCCTGTCCTTACATAGGTCACCTTCATTGTATAGAGCATCTACCCTCCATGGTTGGTCTGGTCTTAAGACCAGAGCACAGGGGGTCCTGTAGAGAGAGATTGGATCCAGCTGGTCTCTGATTTCTGCTTTTGATGACAGGGTGTGCCACCTTGGCCAAGGCACTCCTGTCTGGGGCTCTGGTCCTGGCCTGGCTATAGGAGGCTATGTGGGTCTGTTCTCCCTAACTTAGTATACAGGGTTTGAGAAAGGCTTCACCTTCTAAGCCTGGGAGGTGGGCAAGTAGATTATGGTTTCCCATTTGGCAGGTGAAAATGCCAAGGGCCAGATGGGCAAGGCCTGTTGAACTTCAAGAGCAAGGGGAGCTGTGGCCAGGTCCTGTGATCCAGTTCTGAATCCCAGCCTGGCTCAACTGCAGCCCTCAGTAAAGTCTTCCCGGCACCCAGGTTTCTTCTGCAGGGTCCAAAGCAGTGTGGGGCATACTTTGGAAAGGGCCCTAGCCCCCTCTGTGACTTCACTATGTAGGCTCAATACCCTCTCCTGCTTCTTGGACTAGCCATCATTCAGGCAAAACTTCTGGGTGGATTTTTTACAGCAGTTCAGGGGAATTAGGGTGTTGGAGCCATGATTCTAGCAAGGGGGCCCAGGACTGCAGGTTGGGACCTTTGGGTCAGAATGCCAAAATCCTGGAATCCCAGCAGAACCTCGGATACCCAGCAGCAGAATTTTGATCAAGAGCTCCCTCCATAACACATCTTGGGGCCAAGGGGCTGAGGGGGTTCAGCTGACTGAGTCCGGGCAGCACCAGCGAAACACCTGCTCATGCTTTGCCACTCCAGGGCTGGCCCTTTAAACCACAGACCATGATGTCACTGTAGACAGTCAGGGAGGGGAGGGGGACTGCAGGCCTGAGAATGGACTGCATTTCCCAGCACCCTCTGGTGAACCACACCCCTCCCAACAGGCACTGACTCGCTGCAGACTATTAACCACTCGAGTGCCGGTTGTCAAGGGGTTTTGGAAGTGTCTGTGTAAGTGGGGTTCCTATGGGTATGGCCTGGGGCTAAATGGCTCACACCGAATGAGTGGGCCCAGGATAGCATGCTGGGCCTCTTTTCTGCCAGGGGTCTGGCATCGCCCCCAGTCCTGGGGCAGACTCTGGCGTCCTCCTCTTGCCCTACGCAGTCACCCTTCCAGCATCCAGAATCCAGCCTCCGCCGGAGCACGTGTCTCTCAGCTCTCAGGCTTCGAACGCCTCAGCCTTGGCTCGGAAGTCTGGAGTCCACCCTCCGGTGTTACCCGCTCTGTTGGGTCGTTGCCTTTAAACAAGGCGGGGACTACATTTCCCAGAGGCCCCGGGGCCTCCCTGACGCAGCGTCCCCCCCCCCCAGCCTTGGGGAGGTGCGGGCCGGGCGGGGGGAGGTGACTTGATGTCATCCTAAGCAGCTGGGCGGCGGGTGCCGGTGCGCACAGAGCCCGGGCTCCCGCTGCGCTGCGCCGCGCTGCCGGAGTCCCGGGACGTCAGCCGAGGCCCGCGCGCCGCCGGGGCCAGCCCAGAGCCCGCCCAGCGCCCGGCCCCCTCCCGGGGCTGAGCTGGGGGCATGCTCCAGCCCCCCCGGAGTCCCGGAGAGGACCCAGGAGCGCCGCCGCCCAGCCCCAGCGCCCCGAGCGGTGGATCCGCAGCGAAGGAGCCCTGAACGGCTGTCCCCTCCCCGCAGGCAGCCCCGAAGGGTTCTGCGACCAAAGTCTGGGTTTCTGAGAAGTGAGTGACTCCCCCCTCGCCACCGCGTGAGATTTGGGGGCCAGGAAGAAGCTGAGGTGGGGAAGATGCTGGGGTCTAGGAGGGGTTGGCACAGAGATAGGGCCCCAGTTCTTGGATGAGTCCACTGTGGCCGGCGTTAGTGGAGCAAGACGGCCCTATTTCCTAAGGAAGTAGGGATGAGGAACAGAGATCCCATTCTGAGTAGGGGGCTGGCTTGGGGGGATAGGCCCTATGTTGGGAGGGGCTATTTTAGAGCCTGGGTCCTTTCCTGTGGGAGAAGGGAAGAACATGCCCATGATGGGAGGGAGCTGCACCCCTGTTTTGGGGACTAGGCACCCAGCTGCATTGCACAGGCTTGTCTCTGGAAAGAACTGATGGCTCTCTCTGTCTCTCTTGCTGACCTTTCTGCCCTGACTCATAAGAGCCAGCGTGGGAACCTTGACTGGACTCTTCTGGACTCCAGGAAAGACCTAAGGCCTCAGCTGACCCCTTTCTACCTTGCCTGCCCCCCAGGACTGGGCAGTTGCCGAAGGTCCTGGGGGGGGGCCAGGACTGTCGTTGTGCCGCCCCCCCCCAAGCCGGGCAGGATGGGCCCGAGTTAGTCTGCCCTGCCTCACCCAGCCTCCTCCAGGCCCACAGGGAACCCCAGGAGTTCTGAACACTTGATCTGCTACCTGCCCACCATGGAGACGAAACTGCCCCCTGCAAGCACCCCTACCAGCCCCTCTTCCCCAGGGCTGTCTCCTGTGCCACCACCTGACAAGGTGGACGGCTTCTCCCGCCGTTCCCTCCGCAGGGCCCGGCCCAGGCGCTCCCACAGCTCCTCTCAGTTCCGCTATCAGAGCAACCAGCAAGAGCTCACGCCACTGCCCCTGCTCAAAGGTGAGCCACTGCTAGTACCAGTGAGCCTTGGAGGGGACCAACAAGGGATGGGAGAGTGAGACACAGCTGACAGCTGCCATCAGAGGGAGTATGGATGCCCTTCTAGGCTAGGGAATTCCATCAGAACTGACCCACAGCCCTCCAGTCCTCTGCTGACGCATGGCCTGACTGGCCTGTCATCCCTGGAGGTGGGGCATCTGGAGGTGGAGCCACCTTGGGGGCAGGCCAGGGCCAAGGTGGGGCCCACAGCCTGAGTTCCTGGAGGCCACTATCAGCCCAGCCAGCTGCCCGGGTCCTGGAGCAGGTGCTTGGTGTGGCTTCCTCTGATCACCACATAGCCCTCACCCTCACCGCTTACCCGCTTCTCTATTTCTGGCTGGTAGATTGGGGTGTAGAGTTTGCTCTCTGCACTAGAGCATGGGACCTGGGGGCGGCAGAGGCTGCCTGGAAAGTCAGCCCCAGAGATAGGGAGATTCACCCCAGCCCACAGCTTTGGCAGCTGTGGCCCAGTCTTGGCCCTGCTGTCCCTTCCCCAGATGTACCAGCCTCTGAGCTGCACGAGCTGCTGAGCCGGAAGCTGGCCCAGTGTGGGGTGATGTTTGACTTCTTGGACTGTGTGGCTGACCTAAAGGGGAAGGAGGTGAAGCGGGCAGCATTGAATGAGCTGGTGGAATGTGTGGGGAGCACCCGGGGTGTCCTCATCGAGCCTGTCTATCCGGACATCATCCGCATGGTGAGCACCGGTCCAGCCTCTGGGGACTGCTTAGGGGACACGTGAATCCTACTGACCTGCCTACAAGACCCCTGTGCAGAGAATACACTGTACTCTTCGGCTTGGCCTCAAGGCTCATGTCTTCCAACCCATCGAGCCCCACTTCTGTCCAGCACCCACTCATGATTTCCTCATCTCCGTACCTTTGCTTGTTTGACTTGAGGTTGGGGGTGCCCTTCCCCCACACCACTTGCCTTCCACGGCCTGGCTCAGTGCTATCTCTGCCAGGAAGCCTGTTTCAATGCTCAATCCAGAAGTCTCCCTTTTCTTGTCCAGAATACATGTGGACCTCACTGTTTGCAACCTTACCATTCCTACTGGCTGGGGTATGTCCCATTCACCGACAGGTCTCCAGTTAGGTGTACAGGTGATGAATTGGTTGCTGGAGCAGGTGCTGAGGCTGACCCAGCACCAGCACCTGGGTTTCTGCCTTCAAGGGACAATCCTAAAGAACCCTGACTCTGCCCCCCTGCCCCCAGATCTCAGTGAATATCTTCCGGACCCTGCCGCCTAGTGAGAACCCTGAATTTGACCCTGAAGAGGATGAGCCGAACCTTGAGCCTTCGTGGCCACACCTGCAGGTGTGAAGGGCTGGGGGAGGCAGGCGGTCTGAGGGGCTGGGACAGGGTCTGCTTAGCCCCTAGACTGTTGGATGAGGGGTTGCAGGGTGGGCGGAGTGGTTGAGGTGGTGACTGAACGCACCTTTCTTTCTGCCCTCCTTTCCCAGCTGGTATATGAATTTTTCCTGCGTTTCTTAGAGAGCCCAGACTTCCAGCCCTCTGTGGCCAAGAGATACGTGGATCAGAAGTTTGTCCTGATGGTGATGTGGGAAGTCCAGGCTGGGTGGGGCAGGGGCAGGCTCTCTGAGGGGCATGGGATAGGTTGGGAGTGACCGGGGTTGACTCCTCACCTGACCCCTGATCTTGGGTACCGCAGCTCCTGGAGCTGTTTGATAGTGAGGACCCTCGAGAGCGTGAGTACCTCAAGACCATCTTGCATCGGGTCTACGGCAAGTTCCTGGGTCTCCGGGCCTATATTCGCAAACAGTGCAACCACATCTTCCTCCGGTGAGGGCTGCCAACCGCCCGGCAGGGCCGGGGAGGGAGGAGAAGGGCGGTGTTGAGGAAGACAGGAAGACAGAGGCCCAGGCTGCAGGGCTGTGGAGGGTTCGCCATGTTTACCATGTTTTCTTTTTATGACATGATATTGATTATACAAAGCCTGCGAAGTCAGCAGAGAATGGGTATTTATTTACATTTTATAGATGGGAAAATAGAGTCCAAAAGAGTAGTTTACAGGGATTAGGGCAGTCTCGGGTAGCCTGGAGTGGAAATCTGATCCTTACCATACTGGCCTGTAAGCATTCAAAAAGTGATTCTTTTTGCAAACATGTTTTGAGCACAACACTCACTGGGTGTTGGGGGCCTGCATAGTCTTATAGTTGAGAGTGGAGTCAGAGGGCCTGAATTTGAGTTTGGTACCAGTATTTGGGGGAAGTTGGGAAAACCACTTAAGTCCTCCCTTAGTTTCCTCATCTTTGAAATGGGGATGTTACCGTTCAGAGACCAACTCTAGGTGAAAGGAGGTAATGCCTCCAAAGCATGGGGTATAGCCGCCAGCTCAAGGTGGGGACTCTGAAACATTAGCTCTTGTCATTAGCAACAAAGTAGGGAAGACATGATCCAAGTCCCTAGGAGCTCGGAGTCCGTCAGTTTCCCTATTAACTGTGGGGAGAGTGGCCTTTAGCCACTGAGTCTTGACTTCTTCATCTGTGTAATGGCCTTAATACGCCCAGCCTCCCAGGAGAATTCTGAGAATTGCAGGGTACAGAGTAGACATCTGAGGTGTTTGTCACTGCTGGGTTGGCTGCATGAAGAGTGAAGGTTGTAGGTCAGGTGCCTGCTGGCTTCCTGGGCATCAGGTAGGGTGTGCTGGGGTCTAGGAGGAAGATAGAACCTGGAATGTTGCATAGGAGAGGGGCTGAGCCGGAAGTCAGAGAAGCAGAGGTGGCCACACTGGGAAGGGCATTTCACAGGTGGGCACAGACTCAGTGGGGCCCAGTTTGGGGCACTGGGAAAGGAGCATGGCCAGGGAGAGTTGAATGAGTGCGCAGGTTGGGAAAGGTGACAGGCAAAATGGCTCATGGGGTGCTGGACTGACCCTGTTGCTCCCAGCCATCCGCACTCTTCTCTTTCTTTTCCAGGTTCATTTATGAGTTGGAGCACTTCAATGGTGTGGCTGAGCTGCTGGAGATCTTAGGAAGGTGATTCTCTTTGGGCCTCAGCTGGAGCTCCGGGCTTGGGAGGAAAGACTGGGGCCTAGTTAGTTGAGCCTTGCTTCTCTCTTCTGCCCCCTCGAAAGCATCATCAATGGCTTTGCGCTGCCCCTGAAGACCGAGCACAAGCAGTTCCTGGTTCGTGTCTTGATTCCACTGCACTCCGTCAAGTCGCTGTCTGTCTTTCATGCCCAGGTAAGGCCCAGGCCTCGTCCTGCTGCGACAGGTGCTTCTGACAGTCAAGGCTGCCACTAGAGCTAGGAAGTCAGCATGACACTTCAGGGATCTACTTCCCATCTTTACTGACTGTGTCCTGTCTACCTTAGAGAATTTCCACTGGCCCTTTAAGGCTAATCTCAGACATCAATTAGTATATGCTACCCTCCACAGCCCCATCCTCTCTACCTGCCCTCTGTAGAATGAAACTCCCTCCTGCCGTAGTCCCGAAAATTACGATACAGAAATCTATCTATGGACCCTTTTGCAAAATTGATAAGGGCAGTTTGCTATTTCCTCTGTATTCCCTGTATCAGAGCATGGTGCCTTGTATGTCCCAGGCACCAGTATGTGCTCAGTGAACAAGAGAATGATAGACAGTGACAAATGCCTGACCCCTTGTCCTGGGGGTGGCCAGTCCTTGGCACCTAGCCCCTCCTGACCCAGTTTCCTTCTCTCCATTATGCCCCCTGCAGTTAGCATACTGTGTGGTACAGTTCCTGGAGAAGGATGCTACCTTGACAGAGCATGTGAGTACCCCTGGGAGGGACAGTGGGCCCCTTAACCTGCAGACCTGACTCCTGCCTCACCCCACAGGTGATCCGAGGGTTGCTCAAATACTGGCCCAAAACCTGCACCCAGAAGGAGGTATGAAGAAAGGCTTTGAGGCCCACCAGAGGGAGGTTGGGAGGGCTCAGCTTCCAGAAGGCAGGTGTGTGCGTGCGTGCGTGTGCATGTGTGCGTGTGTGTGTGTGTGTGTGTATGTGTTGGAGATGATGTGAGCTCTATCCCTTCCCCCTCCCACAGGTCATGTTCCTGGGGGAGATGGAAGAGATTCTTGATGTCATTGAGCCCTCCCAGTTTGTGAAGATCCAGGAGCCCCTCTTCAAGCAGGTGGCTCGCTGTGTTTCCAGCCCTCATTTCCAGGTATGGGACAGGGACAGGCAGCAGTGGGAGCAGGGGTATAGCTTAGCAAGATTACTCAGTTGACCTAACATGGCTCCTCTCTCTTCAGTTCTTCGTCCCATTCTGAGTCTGATAATAGGGAGACACTGGGCTTAGAGTCAGGAGACCTAGAGTCAGTCCTCACATCTGCCTTCTACTGCTGAAAGGCCTAAGACAAACTACTTCATCCCTCTGAATCTAACTCTGTTTTTTCATCTGTAAAACGGGCCAATGACAATCTCTTGCAGAGTAGTGATGAGGACTGAAGAGGTCATGACTGTAAACTTGTCTGATAAACTGAACCAGAATGAGATGGAGTGTTCTTTTTCTCCTTTTCTTAGTGGCCTTAGATTTCATTAGTCCCATCTTAGGACATAGCCTGGCTTCCCACACCGTCCCAGTTGTCCGTTAGCTCATGCACAGAGCCTCCCCATTATGAAGTCATTTCTTCCTAATCGTGATTCTGGTACTTCATTTTATTAAACATCTTAAAGTCCAATAGCTCATTCATCCTGACAGTCTGGAGGAGATATTACTAGCCCCATTTACAGACCACACATCTGAGGCTGAGAAATCAAATGCTTCATCCAAGATCACAGGGCCATAGTGGAGGCTGTAGTGGAATTAGGTTTTGCCCTGTATTAGATTCCAAACCCAAAGCTCTTTGTTCTTCATGTCATTCCCTCCGTGGGTCAGATAAGCCCTTAGGTTAGAGTGTGCGCAGGTTAGGGGGTCTGGGTTTTGGGGTAGGATTGGATACCAGACCTTGCTACTCCAGGCCCACTCTACTATCTTGCCTATCCCAGGTTGCAGAGCGGGCTCTGTACTTCTGGAACAACGAGTATATCCTGAGCCTCATTGAGGACAACTGCCACACTGTGCTGCCTGCTGTGTTTGGGACCCTCTACCAAGTCTCCAAGGAGCACTGGAATCAGTGAGTTGTCCAGGCTTGGAGATGGGGCCAACCCAGCTCCTAGGATTGCTCCTAGCTGAAGAGGGTCAGAAAAAGTGTCAGGATGGCAAGGGGTGGTGAAGAGCAGGAAAGTGTGCAATGCTGTGTATCTGGGGACAAGGATAAGCAGAATGCCAGAGAGGGAGTTGGGGCCACACTGGCGTTTTAAAAATCTCACCTCACCCCTACCTTCACTGTGCCAAGAACCATCGTATCTCTGATCTACAATGTGCTCAAGACCTTCATGGAGATGAATGGAAAGCTGTTCGATGAGCTCACAGCCTCCTACAAGCTGGAGAAGCAGCAGTGAGCACTGGAGGCTGGGCATGGGGGAAAGGGAGAAAAGTGGGCAGGAGGGAGTATAGAGGACAGACCCAGCGCTGTGTGCTCAGATGTTCAGTCCCTCCCTCACGTTCCTGCAAGTGTCGGCCCCATGCCCAACTGCCCACCACATCCTCCCGACAGCCTCCCCAGTTGCCTTCCAGGGACTGACCTGCTCTGACTCCCTGAGGCACACCCCAGGCAAGCGGGTTCATCTTCCCATCTTTTCTCAGTTCTCCCCTAGGCAGAGGGTTCCTACAGAAAATGGCTCTGTTTGACCCTCTTTGCAGTGGGGTAGTGGTGAGGGAGGGGGCCCCAGGAGGGAGAAGCTGCCTCACCCTCTCTCTCCAGGGAGCAGCAGAAGGCTCGGGAGCGTCAGGAGCTATGGCAAGGCTTGGAGGAGCTGCGGTTACGCCGGCTACAGGGGACCCAAGGGGCCAGGGAGGCCCCCCTCTCACGGCTTACACCGCAGGTGGCTGCCAGTGGGGGTCAGAGCTAGAGCCCCCAGAAGGGGAGAAGCAAAGTCCAGAGCCATCAGTCCCTCCATCCCTTCTCCTGCCCAGGGCCCAGAGGGGCACACACCTACCCCTGGCCTTGCCAGAGTGGCTCTGAGGACTCCTTGCTGGCCCCATGTGGGCAGCTTTCACTAGGGGAGACGAGAAGGCGAGATGGTGGTCTTGGCAGCAAAACTCCCAGGCCCTTGTGGCAAGACTTGACCAGGGCAAACTTGACCAGGAAGCTGCCATCAGGGATCTTCCCCTGCCCCGCAAAGCCGGGCTCCAGCTGCAGGCAGGCTCCCACCCCAGATCCCAACCTGGGGCAAGGGCCCTTAGCACCTGGCTGCCCTTGCCTCTGGCTGGGTCTACAACTTTTCTCACCCCTAACATGGGGCCCATGGTCTATTTATTCTGCCCAGCTCACCCTCAACAGACACTGTCCTGGCCCTGGGATGTCCTCCTTCCCTCCTCTCCCTCACTCTGTACTTCCTTATCCCCTTTTTATTTATTGGGCAGGGGGAGGGGTAAGGGGACAGGCAGGAAGAGATTTACAGTGTCCTGGGGTAAGGGGGTCACAGAACTCATGGTCTATCCCCCTTCCCCTGGCTGGGTGGGCAGACTTAATAAAGAGAGAAACTCAAGAGATGATTGCTTTATTTAGGGGTAGGAGCAAAGAAAAAAAGTGAAGTGATAAAAGACTGGTTAGAAGGACCAGGTCATGACCAGGTCATTTTTAGGAAATGACCATCACAAAATCTTAAGAGGGTCAGAGCTGGAGTAGCCCTCCCCCCATTTGTAAAAACCACATATTAAGTCACGGGGCAGGACTGAAGCTCCTTCCAGTGACTAGTAGCGTGAGAGGCGACACATGTCACATTGGCAAGCCCTGGCTGTGAAGATCTCCAACTCCCCCCGTCGGTTCCCCACACACTGCAGCCACACCTTCACCTGTAGGAGAGGGGACTCACATTCTGTCCCATTCTTGGCTACCTTGGATCTTGCCCACTGGCTGTCTACCCCAGTATCTTCCCTCTGTGCTTGGACCCCTCACCTTCTTTAGGCTGCTGATGGTGCAGCACTGAGAGACAGAGGTGATGTTGTGTCGATAGCCACTAGCCACCAGCACAGAGTACCGAGAAGGGAAGGCGCTGGACTCACAGTGGCCCACACAAGCCTGTGCCACATGGGACCCCTGGCAGGTGCCCTGGCGGTCACTTCGCACTGTCACGTTGAAGGCTGGAAGGAGACAGGCAAAAGGTCTGGGAAGGCTTGCCCTGGCTGCTGTTGTCTTTGCCTTCTTGTGTGTCCATGCAGGATGCTGCCTGCCCGCAAGTCCAGTCTGTCAGCTCTTCTCCCACCCACAACGTACTCCTAGCCCTCTGGCCCTAGAGTTACTCACGGTGCAAGTGGCAGCCTGGGATGGCTGTCTCCTGACCTTGGCCTTCAGTGACTGCCAGGACCAGCAGGCAGAGGAGCAGGGCTGAGGGGGACTCCATGGCATCTGGAATGCAAGTGGGTGGGTGTCTCTAGCAGGCATGCAGGTATGGAGGGGCAGGGTTCTTTAAGTACTGCATGCCTCCTGGTGAGTGGGCCAGGCTGGTGGGTGTGATAGGTGAGGTGTGCCTGAGTGGGGCTGTCTGCCTTTGAAGGAGTGTGTGTGTGTGTACATGTGCACACATTTGCCTCCCTGCGTGGGTCACTCTGGATGGGTGAGTAGCTATCTCTGGATGGGACTTGTGTGCATCAGCCCTTTGTACAGTTTCTCCCCTGGAATTTCCCTCACCATTGGGGCCACACACATCTTCCCTCCAAGTGCCTCATCATGGCCTGCAGAGCCCTGGCCCACATCCCTGCCCTCCAACCTCACCAGTCCAGGTGGGAACAGAGCAGCTTGCAGACTCCCAATGCCTCTTGCTGGCCTCCAGACTGGTGCAGGCTCTCCCTTGCAGGCTCCCAATGCCTCCTGCTGGCCTCCAGACTGGTGTGGGCTCTCTGGACTTTTATTTGCTGGTGTTTTGGGGCCACGCCCTCCTGGAGATTGGCTTTCAGGCTGCCTCCCAGCCTGAAGCCTCAGAGCAGTCCCACCTGGGGATCCTGATCTGAGGTGTGGTCCTCAGGGAGTGGCCTCTGCTACTTTTCTCTATCCAAAAGATTGCTTATGATGGAGGACTGGGGGAAGTGAGATGTACAGAAGAGTCCAGGAGCAGGCCTAGTGTGCGGTGTGTGTGCAGCTGGGAGAGGGCTGAACTGTGGCTATCTGGATTCTCTCCTTTGCCTGAGACCTTGGACAGGACACTTTCCTGCTAAGACCCTTGCCATTCCCAGTCTTAAAACTACTAAACTCTTCCTGTCCGTCTCTTTTACCGACTGCAGAAGAAAGGTATTGGAGGAGATTCTTAGGAACTAAGGACATTTTGTTAGTGGGGGCTCCTTAGCTGTGTTTAGTGGTGAACCAGGGATGGGGGTTACTGAGTCCATTTCAGAGCCTCCTTTCCAATGCCAAGTGCATGCCTTCTCATCCTGTGAGTCAGCTATTGAGTGAGGCTCCAAGAAGCTACAGGGTTTCCCTGGTGCCTGGAATAACAGGGACCTGACTCCTGAAAGAACCTGAAACTGTCAACCTCAGCAAATCTGATGGTTTAATCCAGTTCTGGTTTTACAGGCAAGGCTACTAAGGCTAAGAGAAGGAAAGTTATTTACTGAAAGTCACAGCTAGTTAAGTCCAGGCTAATTTAGAACTCAGATCTCCTGCTGCATATCCATCGTGCTGAATTACACTTGGGGCAAGAATATGGCAAGCTGAGAAAATAAAAACTCCAGTCAGCAGTAGCTGGAGGTTGGGTGGGGGCAGAGATCAGAAAGAGGCAGCCCCCACTCAGGCCACTGTCTCACACATCTGGCTCAAAAAGAGCAGGGCCAGTCCCACAGCCTGCCAGAGCTAGATAGCTCCTAAAGAGCTCATCAAATCCCAGCCCTCATTTTCCAGATGAGGAAATAAGGCTTCAGAGGAAAGAGACTCACAATGTTATCCAGGCCGAGTCAGAACACGTGCTCAGACCTCTAGACTTTGGGACTGTGCCCTTCAGATGCAGTGTGATCAAGCAGCCCATGTTTGGGACAGTAGGGAAAAGGCAGAAAACACAATTTGGAAGGAATTAGTGTGGCCCATGTTGCTAACCCTCAAATCCCCACACTCTGCGCATCCCCTTCCCTGCCTCCCTGCTCAGGCCCTGGGTGCTCACCTACCAGGCCCTCTCCTCCCAGTCCACCTCTTCTTTTCTCCCTGACAAAGATAGAAGCAGCCAAGCAAGGAGACTCAGGGGCCCTCAGCAGTCCAGCCCCACTCTCCCACTCATTAGGATCCCTCTGGCATATGACAGATAATTAGCTGTTTAAAGCTCATTACCTCACAAGGCAGCTCATTCTAATATTGGACATCTCTAACAGTTAAGAAGTGATTCCTTTGTTCTGAGCTAAAATGAGTTTCTCTAAATTTCTGTCAATTATTTTGGTTCTCTGAGGACACACAGGCTAAGTAAGTATCTATCTCAGATGCCCCTCTGGTTGAAGACAGAGCTCTGGGGCTTTGGCCTGCTTCAGGGGCCCTAACCTGCACTACCTTCCAGTTGATCTGATAAACAGTTTGTGTTATCATCAAGAAACCAGAGAGATAATCAGGTGGGGAACATTTTATCTATGGAGAAGCTATCTTTTGGGGGCCAAACCAAATTGGGGGAAAAGATCGTTTCTTGTGAAGCAGCAAGGCTCAACACTGAGCCTCGTATGATCCTGACCCCGAACTCCTGGCAGTGAAGTTAACTGAGGTAAGGTGCAGACTCCTCCACCCAGAGTGACCCTGTAAACAGCAGCTAGGTGACCAAGAGGAGGCCTATGCATGGTTTCTCTGTTCTCTCTGACTCTCTACATCACCAGAGTCAATTAACTCTTCATGAGTAATTTATTGGCATTGGGATCCTAAGTGCTATAGACACTGAAATTCTCAGACTAGAGCATTTTAGAAAGTCTCTTCTTTAGTATTTTAGATAGGGAAAACAAAAAAAGGCAAAGGATATGATAAACCCCTATGAGGACTCAGTCTGGGGTCCTCATTTCCATGACTGAGAGGAGTCACAAGAAAAGGATGAAAGCTGTGCACGGTGATACAAGCCTGTAATCCCAGCACTCAGGAGGCTGAGGCCAGAGAGTTGACAGCTCCAGGCCAGTCTGGGCTACACAACCAGCCTTAAAAACAAAACAAACACCAAAAAAGAAGAGGATGAAGCTGGAGGAGGAATGCTGCAGAAGACCCTCTTTCCACCGCTGTGCTGCATCTGGAAGGCTTAACGGCTGCTCTTCCTGAAGAAATACCGAAACGGGAAGAGAGTGCTGCAGGAATGAGAGCAGAGTAGGCTGAGACTGAGAGCTCTTTCCTTCTCCCAGCTTCCCATTAGCACCTCATTAACAAGGGCATTTTGCTCTGGGGAACCACTGAGTGGAAATTCGAGTCTGGAACAGCATTGAGAGGTACCCAAATTAGATTATACTCAGGAGGGGAAAATAAAGGGAAAAGAATTGCAGTGGGATGACTGAGCTCTAGACAGATAAAGGGACTTGCTAACTTCCCTCAGTAGAAAAGTCTGTGAAGATACAACCTTGATTCAGAAGGGAGAATGAAAACACTTCAGGAACCATATCATCTGAACAACTCAAGGAGAAAAGGAATAGCCATGGTTGAAGCAGTGTTTATGGAACCAGGCCTTATGTTGGCATGTACAACATGCATTGTACAAAAAAGACAATTTCTATTAAACTCACAATCACGCCCCTTGTTCTCAATCTTACTTCCATCATCTGAACAAGACTGAGAAACCTTGGCAAGTAATCTGCTTTCTTCTCTATTCTCTCTTCCTAAAAGACTCAGTGAAGAAAGCTCTGGAGCTAGACTGCTGCTCTGCTCAGCTTGATGGAAGGAGAGAACTTTGTCTTACCTGAGAAACCCAAAGAAGCCACTGGTTTCTACCTCTTTAGGTTGAGGCAACTTGTTCTGCTGCAGTGGTGGGACAATTGGCCCTGGCAGGCTGTGTCCCCACTTAAAATCTGTAAGGAAAACACTCAGGCAGGAAAAAGGGGTTGGTCCATGGCCTACTTTCATCTGAGAAGAGACAGCAGAGCAGCCTCACACCAAGATTTATTTAAAGCCAGGTAAAGTGTTTGCTCTGACCTTTCCAGTTTCATCTCAGCTCAGTAAGACACTACTCTGACCTTGGAGTTTTCAAAGTCAGGCTCATGAGGTATTGACACAGCTCAAATCCCAGCCATCCACCACAGCTGGTATGTTTTCACATGTAATGACAACTTGTCCAAGAACTCAATTGTTTACAACCCTGCTCTGGACACCTGCAGTCCACACTGAGTGCTCATGCTGGGTGAAAGGTCAGCAAGCAGGAAGGGCAGCGCCTCCCTGTGCATTCCCAGGCCTTGCAGAGCACTTTTCAGCACCTACAGTCTTAACGCTCATGCCCCAGGAGAATTGGAGAGGAAGCTTCCTAAGGGTGGTTCTCCAACAGCACAGAAATTATTCCCAACTTTTCTATGAAACATCCCACTTTATTTGGAAGTGTTTTGGAAGCACTGATTTTACTATCAAAAGGAGAGGAAGGGTAACCCCCTCTCTTCACTCCTTTTGGGAACTGGGAGGGACTTCTTTTACTCTATGACAGACCCCAGACTGGAGGATGGCCAACGGTGCCTTCATAGGAGCCAGGCAAATCACTTTTGGAGTGTGCCCAGACTCAGAACTCAGTGCTGCTCTGCTCAGCAGAGCACTACAGGGAGCAGGACAATTATTAAAGGAGAATAGACAAGAATCTCTAGCACCTACCCTGTTCCTGGACACCAGTGGTATCAGAGACTGAGGTCTCCTTCCATTCCTGCTGGGCTTCTCTTTCCTTGTTCTGAAAAAGAAAAGAAACAAAACAAAACAAAAAAAGAGGTCCAAGAAAACCCTTAAACTCTACTTCTACATGGCCTGAGATCTGAATGCTATCTTCTGGTGAACTGATTTCACATCAGCTTCTGGCTACCCAGGCACATCCTGTATTTCCTTTTATAGGACTGTCCTTTATTTCCACTTCCTAACCACCATCCCTCTAAAACCATGTGCTTCAAAGGAGCAGAGAACAAGCTAAGCTCGGTCTACCTCCCTGTTTCCTATTGCTGAGTGCCCACTATTGCTGACAGAATATCGAGTTTTCAGAAACCAGGAGGACCTTAATGTCACCTTGAAGAAACGTACAATACATGGGGCAAAAGTGGCATATAAACTATGTTCTGCGAGACAGTGTGATGAGGCTGCCCTATGAGTCTCTGTAGTGCTGTGGTAGCTGAGGAGGACATTAGCAGAGCAAGTGGCAGTTGTAAAGGAAGGTGTCACAGGGGAAGTAACATTTGGATGGGCCCTTGATGTATGAGTGGGATTTTGTCATAATGGGAGTGAAGAGCTTGTCAGTGAGTGCAGGGCATTTCGGACAGGGACATGATGAAAATGGCATAGTGCCATTGCCATTAATGAGTAAATACAATCAGAATGGCTAGAGCCAGGCACAGCGGAAACATGACTAGGGCATTAGCAGCAGGCACAAAACATACAATCTTCTTTCTCTGTGTGCCACTGCTTGGTAGAAATTTCTGACGAGGACATTCTACAACCTGATTCCAGGCCCACAACATTTCCCAGTAAACACCCTGACAGTCAGAAACATGGTGCATATATTTTCTTTGGGACTGTACCAGCTGGCTACTCTCCCCACCCTGACTGCCCAGAAGCACTGACATTCTTCAGGCTGTGTTGCTAGTGAAGAATTCTGTAGCAGGGTGGGCTTGGGTAGCAGATGCACAGGAGGCCTCTAAGAAGTTAGGTTTGGCCCCCATGCAAGCAGAAGCTTCAAGTTAGAATGGCAGATCTTCCTGATAGGAGCTTCTTCAAAAACCCCTCAAATCCCAGACCACAAAGGCAGCCCCTAGTTACATTCCTTCAAAAGCAAAAGAGTACTATGGAGGAAGAGGCCATTCTTACCTCTTCCACACAGTGCAAACAGGACTTAGAAGGTCCAGCTCTGGTTTCTGGCTTGAGGGGAGTGAGTCTTAACAAATTGAATGAAACCACGCCTTTGAGTTTAAACTCTGCAGCAGAGAGTAGCCCTCTGAAGTAGAGTAGATGGCAGTAGGAACAGGGGACAAAGGCCCAAAGGCAGATGTGTAACCCACCCAGGAACCAGGGGAGACTCTTTTCACATGAAGTGTAACTTTGTGTTCTCCTGAAACCTGTGAGAGGTCTTTTCAGGCACAAGTTGTAAGAGAGGAAAAGCATAGCCTGAAGGAAGACTGAGGTTACTACTGGGGCTATCCAGCAGGATATATTACCCTGAAAACCTTTGTAGGGCTGGCACCAGATCTATTTAGAAGTAGAGTTCAAGCAGACAGGGTAAAACAAGCTGTGAGCAGTCAGTCTGTTCCACTTCTGGGCCATTCATCTTCTCTCTCCCATTTTTTATCTTTCCGAATTCTAAATTTCTAGGTCTGGGACCTAAAGGAACAAAGGAAAAGAGTCTTCCCTTCCTTTTTATTCTCACCCAAACACTTCTTATTAGACAAGTATTGTATTCTTTTAAGCTCTTCCCATGTAGACTCTTAATGTGTTCAGACATGCACAATCCACACTGGCTGTGACCCTATAAACTAACTTCCCACAAAGTGGGGAGAAAATATCAAGCACTGAACCCTAAGAACAAATTCAATTTTTTCCAGCTCAAGTGACTTACACTGAGAGTCACTGTGATCACCTTAATTTAGGAGAAATCTCTCTCTGGGAACAGGGTTTGCAATGGAGGCCGTCTTTGGGCTTTGAATCAAGTCAATAAACATGCTCCTTTTGCTCAGTTTTTTCTAAACCCAGAATCAGTTTGAAAAGGTAATTATGTTGAATAAGAAGCTGTGGGTACTGTTCCTGAGGGAGATAATGTGTCAAACTAAGAATAGGAAGGTACGAAGGGTAGAGAGTGAGGGAAATGTTCCTTTAATAGCAATTATCCTGGTTGTCTTTGTTCTCCAGAGCTTCATGTACTCCTCTGGTACTTTCTCATCTATTCTTCTTACCTCTCTAAAGGACAGGAGGCATAGAAGGAGGCAACTTTCTGCCCAACATCACTCAGTATAACTTTAGTGTTCTCCATCACTCAGTGGGCCACTTGGCCATGGCACAAAACTGGGATCCTGTCTTTTACACTTGCTCACAGAGGCAGAGGTTTAGATGCCCAAGGGTGCACTCCTTCCCCAAGTGAATTATAAGCTCCTGGAGAGAAGCTAGATTTTACATGTGTTTGTGTGTGTGTGTGCGCCCTGGCACCCAATACAATGCCTTGCAGACAGAGACAGAATAGTGGCTTAGAAATGAAAAGCACTTCATTCCTTATTTTAAAATGTTTTAGGGAATTCCAGTGATTCTGAAGGTGGTCTCAAGGTCCAATCCATGCTGTTCTCTCAGCACTGTACTCTGGGCTCCGGGTGCACTGGTCTGCAGTCATGAAAAGCACCATGCTCTCCCTTGTGGCCAAGGTCTTTAATTGCCTCTGGCTCCTCTGGAGGCCCTTCCCCTGGCTTCTCCCTGCTTCCTCTGTACCCTGTGCTCCCTGTGTCCCTGCACGCAGGATATCAGTAATTGTCTGCTGGCCTGACACTGCTAGCATCATCAGGGGACAGCATGTTATCCCATGTACTTGGCACATAGTGGTCACAGTGAAATGAACTGAAAGAATGCATATCTAAGTATTTGTTCCATAACTGACCACATTGTGGGTCCTGGGAGGTGGAAGAGGCAAGCCATTAAAAGTGTCTGGGACTTAGGGTCAGAGCTACTTTAGAGACATAAATAAGAAAAAAAAGAGGAAAGACCTACAAGACATGTCTAACAGCTATTAGAGAGGGGAGAAAAATTTTTTTAAAAGGCACTACTTTAGAGACTATTATTAAAAAAGAAGCCTTGAAATAAAGGAGTAACAGATATATGAACATCTAAATGTAGAATAAACTCCATAAGTCTAATCAAATCAAATCATCAGGGGCATCATTACTCTAGAAGTTTCTTTCATGAGTTTCTAGTACTGATAGATGCTTAGCTCCTGTTAAAACTAGATGACCCAGACTCAGACCCCAGTGTAGATGAGGCAAAAGTTTTTTCCTTTGAAAGTTCCATGCTGGATTCTAACTCCATTCGACACAGACCTAAATTCTTACTTCAATTGTAGAGTACAAGAAATTACTTTTTAAGCTGAGAGGAGAGGTCCTTTTAATAGAAGGATTTGTCCATGTAAGTAGCCACTAAGAGGAAGAGTTGTGGCAAAAGCAGAATGGTTGAATGTTGTTCTGCAGACAGTGAAACCTGAGAATGAGTTCAGTCAATTCAATCTGCAGCAAGGACCAAGATGTTTAGGTAACAGGAATCCTGACAGGAATGGCCAAGAGCCTCAAAGCCTCCATTTTGGTGCTTACCCTCTTGGTTTTCTTCGGGGGTTTCTTTTTGCTGGGGCATTGGCTAGAAGTCCTCATCTTGGACCTGAGAGGGTGGTAAAAAGCCCAGGAAATGTTAGTGGCAATGGCAACATTACTACATCCAAGCACATGTGACCCAAATGAATATTTCAGCAGGTTGGCTATTTTTATACCACTCCTGGCTGTTGGGAAAAATTGTGTGGCCAAATTTTCTTTGGGTGCTGCTTTAATTCACAGTAGAATTCTAATCTGAGACACTCAATGACATGAGTTTTGAAAGAGGAAAATGTGACAGTAGATATCAGATTTTGAAATACTTGGTTATACATCAAAACCCAGAGAGAGAAAAGACCTAAGGCCTCATTTCCATGGAGAATTCAGTTAAATGAGACATAACAGTTTCACATCTCCAAGTACCCTCACATTCTACCTGGTCTGGAATGGAACTCCCTACTTGTTACTGACATACATCTGAAAGGCACAAGGTCAGTTCCTTCATGATCTACCCTCCCTGCTCTTGTGCATCTAGGGGCCTGCATGGTCAGGAAAAGAGCAGTTGCCTTCTGTGAACATAGGGTGAAAGCACCTTGGCCTAGGGAGCAAACCACACCCCTGAAATGCTAAGAAATGCTAAATTGTCTTTTTGGCTCATTTACTTATTTTATCCCTGACAGAAAATCGAAAGAACGTAAGTCACCTACACAATAGCAACTTTAATATGTAGGAGCTGTGTTCAACATCCCCTAACAATTCATGCCTCATCTGACAATTGATATGCACCATCATACAAACACTTATATTTCACCCTGACTGCTCTTAAGGTTCCAGAGAACCTTAAAAGTTACTGGTTACTGGAGAAAATAGAATTTGAACTCAGGGCCTACACCTTGAGCCACCAGCCTTTTTGTGTGATTTTTTTTTTTTTTCCAAGATAGGGTCTCTCAAAATATTTGCTTGGGCTGGCTTCAAAAATGTGATCCTCTTGATCTCTGTCTCTTAGCAGCTAGGATTACAGGCACGAGCTACCAGTACCTGGCCTTCCCTCTGTTTTTGTTTAACATTCTGAGACTGTAAGTTTTGTCACTTCCAACTGTGCCCTCCTCTTTTTAATTAATTAATTAATTAATTAATTAATGTTTGTAGTATGGCATTTACATTCAGGGCCTTGTGCTTTGTAAGCAAATGCTCTATCTTTGGAGTCATACCTCCAGCCTCCAACTGTGTCTTCTATAATAAATGCTACCATAGTACATATTTGATGGCTGTATTGAGATCGTTTCTACAGATCTCATTGTATTCCCTCTCTGCCTCTATCAGTCCCCTCAGCCTCCCTTACCTCACACTCCTGTGCTACGGTCGGAGCCCAAGGCTTCACACGAGTTAGGCAAGAGCTATACATCAGACCTGTATCCCCAGGCCAGCCTTCATCTTGATGAACAGAACAATCTTACTTTGGTGAGAAAGGGATTATGTTCAAATTACATTGCAAATACCAATTTGCTTCCTTTCCATGGTCCATCTATTGGACTAGGCAGGTACTCACGAAGTCCCTCCCATCCCCCAGAAAAGTGATTTATACAAGGACAGAATCAACCACCTGGCAAAGTCTGACCTGGAGGCAGGAGTCAGCCTCTCCACACCACTGACCTGCGCAGCCCTGGCCTGCTGGGGGGACTGGGCTCTTCCATGAATTTTCGTTTCTTCATCACAGCTTCTGCTGCTTTCTTCTCCATTAGGGCCTTCAGGGAGGAACCAGACTCCTGTGATCCTCTCCTTTTCCAGAGTGGCTCACAGTTAAAGAGGGCACAGTGAAGATAACCCCTGATCTTTAACCTGCCAACGGCAATTTAGGACTGATAGTCTGTTAGAGACATTGTCTCTGAAATCTAGCCAAGCGAAACATGGTTTCTTGTTTAAGATTCTGATAGGACCTACTTAGCAACTGAGGGGCAAAGGCAGATGAGGAGAGAACAACACTTTTGAAACAAGAGGCAATAAAGGCAATTTTCATTTTGTATAGAAAAGACAAACTTACCAACCCAAGAGGACTGTCATTTGCTGGTTTCCCTACAATAGGAAATTTGAATGTCAAAGCAGATCAAGACTGTTTTACCTAGATTTCTGACTATTATTTATTTCTTGGAACTGGCCCCAGATAAAACTGTTCCATGTGCCCTTCTCCCTTCTGCATGGTACTTCCCTAGAAATACTGTCTTCAAACTCTTTTCCTCTTCTGTTGCAGAACTGTCACCTATAAACTGAAATGGGTTTGATTCACACTATACTCTAACAATATGCCACTTAAAAGCAGATAAACCTTACTACAAAGAAAACCAGTGGGGCTGGCAGAGTGGATCAGGTAGTAAAGCACCTGCCTAGCAAGTGTGAGTCCCTGAGTTCAAATCCCAGTGCTGCAAAAAAAGAAAGAAAGAAAGAAAGAAAGAAAGAAAACCAGTGGGATTTCAGACATCAGTGATGAAGTACATATATCTAAGATAGGATCTCACTATGTAGTCCAAGCTGACCTCAATCTTGAGATACTTCTGCCTCAGTCTCCCTAATGACCTAAGGCTGGGATTACGAGTAACCCCAGAAATATTTTGAGGCACAGCCTTTGCATTCTTTTTCAACTCAAATTGGCAAGTGAGTAATGAGTAAAAACAGCCATGGTCTTCGGAGCTTAATAATCAGGAGATACCTTTATTTTATTTTTTGGTGTGACTGTTTGGGCTGGGAGATACCTTTACACCACCACAAACAAGGTGGCTCATGCCTGTAATCTTAGCTATTTGGGAGCCTGAGATTGGCAGGATTGAGGTTTGAGGCCAGCCTGGGCAAATAGTTCATGAGACTTCATCTCCAAAATAACCAGAGAAAAATGGACTGGACACGTGACTCAAGTGGTAGAGTGCCTGCTTTGTAAGAGTGAAGCCCTGGATTCAAACCCCAGTCCCACCAAAAAAAACCCCCCAAACACCACAAAGGTGAAAGTCACTGAATTCTCTAAAATGGAAGTGTTTAAATAGGAATTATCTTTCATTGAGTAGTACTCTGTCAGGTTTTGTATTTTCCACCAGCCAATATTTATATATTTAATACTTTTTTGAAGGCTTTTTTTGTGGTACTGGGATTTGAACTCAGGGCTTCATGCTTGCTATACAGGCACTCTCACACTTGAGCCACTCCATCAGCCCTTTTTTGTGTTGGGTATTTTTGAGGTAGGGACTTGTGAACTGTTTGTCTGGGCTAGACTCCTGACTATTTAGGATTCTAGGCATAAGCCACTGGTGCCTGGCAAAGGCTTTTCTTTTTTGGCAGGTTTGAACTCAGGGCTTCCTGCTTGCTCTATTGCTTGAGCCATGTCTTTAGCACTATATACTTAATACTTCAAGAAACTCAATGAGATAGATACTAGTTATGTTTCTTAATCGTTTCACAAAGGAGACACAGAAAGATGAAGTAATTTATCTAAGGTCATACAGTCACAAAGCAGCAAAGCAACCAGGTATTGCGCCAGGCTCCTTATGTGCTCCTAACTGTGTGGATGGAGCCCAGTCTGGCTGGCTATCTCACCATATTCAGCTCATAACACCCTCACTCCCATCCTACTTACCACATGACAGGCTTTCATGAAACCGTTTCATCTCCACGTATAGAGTGAAAACAAATGGGTATGGAATCAAGATGACATCCTCATGTTTGAATTTCAGGTGGGAGACTCTCTCCCATGTGCTTTTATCTGGGAAATGGTGCTAAGGAGTGAGGAAGAAGACCAGTATGCCTCCCTGAGAACTGTTTTCAGGATGAGATTCCCAGAACTATCCTCCTATGGCCTTAACTGCTTCCATTTGAATCTACCTGTGAGACACAGCTCACTAATCACCAGGAAAGAAAGGATACAAGGAAATACAATGAAGTGTTCTGTAACAAATGGCTGCAGATTGTCCAAGTTCCCCAAGATTGCACGGATAGAATCCTGAAAAAGATATTTGAAATAACTTTAATACTGTCAAATCTCTGCCAGTCTTTCCATTTACATTTTCCCTGCCTTTCACACCCTCTATGTTCTAACAAAACTGAACTATTTGCTGTTCCCTGAGCATGCCTTCTGCTTCTCCACTTCTGTGATTTTGCTGTTCCCTCTGCCAAATGCTCTCTTCACATGTTCAAATCCTACCTGTCTTGTAAGGTACAGTTCAAAGGTATCTCCTCCAGAAAACTGTCACCAACTTTCTAAGCTATAATGAATGCTTTCAAACCTCACACTAGTTTGCCTGGAGCCTTGACTACATTCCACATACATGTGTTTTATTTTCCTTCCTGGGAGATCTACCTACTGTACAATATATGCCTGCTTTATCTTAGCATCTTTTCTTCAGTATCTAACACAGTGGGTGATGCATAGCAGGTCCATAATAAATGGGCACTGAACAAATGAATGAATAGTATCAGCATTTGTTGATTGTTATTTTGTTCTTGCTCAAGTCAAGCCTTTTCCTCTTCTCTTTTTAAATTTTTAGCATTTTTGGTGGAACTGGGTAGTGGTGGGGTACAATTGTACTCAGGGCTTTGTGCTTGCTAGGCAGACACACTACCACTTTGAGCCACTCCACCAGTTCTTCTCTTTTTAAATCTTAATTGGCTAGTTCCTAATTAACTTTTATTTATTAGTCTAAATAATTAAACAATTTGGTATTATAAAAAGACTGCTGGAGCCAGGCACAGCTGGTTCATGCCTGTAGTCCTAGCTACTCAGGAGGTAGAGATCAGGAGGATCAAGGTTCAAAACCAGTAGAAAATAGTTCCAGAGACCCTACCTTGAAAAACCCTTCACACAAAGAAGAACTGGTGAAGTGGCTCAAGGTGAGGCCCTGAGTGGCTCATGCCTATAATCCTAGCTACTCAGAAAGCAGAGATCAGGATTGAGGTTCCAGGCTAGCTGGGGCAAAAAGCAAGACAAAAATATGCAACACAGAAAAGGGTTGGTGGAGTGAATCAAGTGGCAGAGGGCCTGCCCACCAACTGTGAGGCCCTGAGTTCAAAACCTAGTACCACCAAAAAACAAAAAACCCTGCTGGATTTCTATGGGAAAAACCCTTGAATTTCAGTTCCAGCTTTGTCATTTCATCTCTCTAAGCCTCAATTTCCTCATGGTGTCTTGCTTATAATTATAATAGTTAATATTTATTAAGTAATTACTAACGACAAGTGATTTTCTTTGTCTTTTTTTTTTTTTTTTGAGACAGGGTCTTTCTATGTGGCCCAGGCTGGGCCAACAACTCAAGATCCTCCTGCCTCAACCTCTTGAGTACTGGGATTATAGGCATGTACTACCACTTCAGTCTTTGTTTTTTTCTATGCATAATAATGCACCTCCTGTGAAATAGGCACCTCCCTAATCTCCATTTTACTGATGAAGACACTGAGCCGAAGACAGGTGAAAAATTTGTAACTTGTAGCTCAGTGGTAGAATGACTGTCTAGCACTACCAAAAAAGAAAGACAGGAAAAAAAAAAAAAAAAAAGAATGGTAGAGCTAAGATCTGAACCCAAGCAGTAGGGCAGTAGGGTTCCCACAGCTCAAAGTCTAGGTATTTTTTGAGGCTATTGTGAATAGGATTGTTTTTCTGATTTCTTTCTCAGTCTGTTCATTATTGGTATATAAAAAAAACTACTGATTTTTTTTTTTGGTATACTGGGGTTTGAACTCAGGGTCTCACATTTGCTAGGCAGGCACTCTACCATTTCGGCCATGCCCCCAAGCCCAGGCTACTTTGCCAAAAGTGTTTATTAGCTCTAGGAGTTTTTTGATGGAATCTTTATAGAGTCTTTAAAAAAATTTTTTTTAACAGTACTAGGGTTTAGAATTCAAGGTCTCATGCTTGCTAGGCAAGAACTCTACCACTTTGAGCATCTCTCCCAGCCTTGTCTTTAGGGTCTTTTAAGTATAGGATCATCTCACCAGAGCTCACATTCTTAATCATTAGACTAGACTGCCTCATAATTAACATTTTCTTTTTCTGCCAGGTCATCCACAATCTATTTTATTGGGATCTAAATAAAAGCAAACAAATATAATTTCAATTAATATTTTCTAAAGGAATGAAGAGAATGATAAAGATCTGCTCTGTGCAAATAAGTGAAAGAGGACATATAAAAAACATTTTCTGGGCCAGGTGCCCGTGGCTCAAGCCTGCAATCCTAGCTACTCAGGAAGCAGAGATCAGGAGGATGGAGGTTCAAGGCAAAGAGTTTGAGAGACCCTATCTCAAAAATATGCAGCACAAAAAGGGCTGGCAGAGTGGCTCAAATGGAAGAGCACCTGTCTAGCATGCATGAGGCCCTGAGTTCAAACTCCTGTACTGCAAAAAGAAAAAAAATGGGACCAGGCATGGTGATATACACTGGTAATCCCTGCACTTGGGGGACTGAGGTAGGAGGATCACAAGTTTCAGACCAGGCTGGGCTACATGGTGAAACCCTGTTGGGGTTTTTTTGTTTTGCTTTTGCTTTTTTCTGAAAACTTTGATATGTTATGTTGCCTTAAGTTTTTATCTGCCCAAATTAGCTCATGTAAAATGAAATAAAGTCTCCCGTGCTCACGATTAAAACAGGCAGAAAAATGTATGGTCCTATATTAAAACAATTGTTATCTATCATGATGCCCTTTAGTTCATGAAGATCCTAGTGCATCTTTCAACACTTTGTCAAAGAGCCACAGGTACTTTTAAAGCTATTACTTGAAGTGTTGGCTTCATAGCTTTGAATATAAGTACAAGTAATGACAAAGCAATTCTTTGAAATGTGGAACCACAGGTCTTAGTAATTTACTAATCACAAGTCATGGAGGGGTGTGAAGTTAGAAAACAATAAACTAGTTTAAACATCTCATTTTACAGATGAAGCATTTGGGACCTAGATTGGCAAATGAGTTGCCAAAGGTCACAGAGCTCATTAATGTGACATTCAGGACTGGAATCCAGGGACAGCCCCCAGAACTCTAATTGTTTACCCACTGCTTTCACCGATTTACCAAGTCGTCTACCTGCTCAATCTTCTTTCTGTTGGGAAAGCCTAAAGCTAGAGCAGTTGGGTAGCCAAGGAATGAGGAATGAAAAAAAGTAGGAAAAAAGAAACTGCAAATGTTTCCAATTAAAATGAAGACACAGTGGCCTGGTCTGTGTATTTACAGTTGAATTTCCTGAACGTCAAGTACCAGGCAGTAGTTGGGATGGTGAGGCCTCCCAGACCCCTGAAAGGCAGCAGTCCTCCGGAAGCTTTCTCCCTGCCAGCTGCCACAAAAGAGAGCTGAGCTATCTGGGAACTCTGGTGGAAACAAAATAACTCTTAGACTCAAAGGTGCTGACACTTCAAGTAGAATTGAGAAAGGATATCACTTTTAAATTTCCTTGGAAAAACAGTAAAGTTCTTTTGCACAGGAAATGTGGCAGGGAGAAGCCAAGTTATCAGGTGGAGGTTGTGACTCAGTTTGTAGGAAATAATTCAAGCCTGGGTGTGGATGTATCTTTGGTGTAAAGAGTAATTTTCTCAGAAGTTGTTTGCTTCTTTCCCTACCTCTAGCTCCTGGATGATGACTTCCTTGTTTTCTATTTCTTCTCCTCTAGAAGGTAAACAGATATGACAAGTAAGATAAGAAGAAAAGCTCTGTTGAGAATCTACTCTGGTGGAGCTAAAGAAACATGACATACATAACAGTTGTATAGCTGATGTAGGGCTCATGGGGAAGAAGGGATTCCACAGGGTGTGGTCTGAGCATCAGTACAAGGTTGTCCCAAAATGTTTTTTTCTGTTAACCACCAAAACTTGAAATTCCCACTGCAGAGGTTAACAGTTTCTTAGACTAGTTATATTCACAGTGTGGTCTGGGAATCCTTAGGGGTACTCAAGATCCTTTTAAGTGGTCTCCAATGGCAAAACTATTTTTGAAATAAAACTAAGATATTATTTGCTATTTTCACTTCTCTGTGTAACCATTAGTGCAAAAACAATGGTGAGGGCCAGGTGAATTGGCTCACCTATAATCTCAACTACTTAGGGGTGACTGGGAAGATTGTGATTCTAAGGCCAGCCCAGGCAAATAGTGAGACCCCCATCGCAACCAATAAGCTGGACATGGTGGTTCACATCTGTAATTCTAGCTACCTAGGTAGGAGGCTGGCCCTAGGCAAAAATGCAAGACCTAGACAGGCACAGGTGGCTCATGCCTATAATCCTAGCTACTCAGGAGGCAAAGATCAGGAAGATCACGGTTCAAAGCTAACCCAGGCAAGACTCCATCTCAAAAAAAAAGGCTGGTAGAGTGCCTCAAGTGGTAGAGCATCTGCCTAGCAAGCATGAGGCCCTGAGTTCAAACCCTAGTTCTGCCAACGCCCCCTGCCAAAATATGAGACCCTGTCAGAAAAAATAACTAAAGCAAACAAGACTGGGGGAATGGCTCAAGTGGTAGAGTGCCTGCCTAGCAAGCAGGAGACCCTAAGCAAGGACCAAGAAACCCAAAACTAACCAAACAAAAAAACCCAGCGGTGGACAAAACTGTTGGCCTTAGTACAAATCTAGCCAGTTGCACTAAACTGTACTAGCAGTTATGGTAGTTGTTATTGCCACATGGGAAAGAAATCCAGTTTTATGTAATATCCTTGAGGAAAGAGTAAAAAAATAATTAAATAAAACCCCAATCCTTGACTACATATCTTTTTTCTTTTCTTTCTTGGTGGGACTGGGATTCGAACTCAAGGCTTTACACTTACAAAGCAGGTACTCTACCACTTGGGCCATACCTCCAGTCCATTTTGCTCTGGTTATTACTATTTTTTCTTTTTGACAGTACTGGGGTTTGAACTCAGGCCCTCATACTTGGTAGACAGGTGCTCTATCATTTGAGCCATGCACTCAGCACTGTGTAGAATAATTTTTTTTTTTTTGGCAGCACTGGGGTTTGAACTCAGGGCTTCATGCTTGGTAGGCACAATAATTTTTTTTTTTTGGCAACACTGGGGCTTGAACTCAGGGCCTTCACCTTGACCCAGTCCACCAGCCCTATTTCTGTGAAGGGTTTTTCGAGACAGGATCTCACAAACTTTTTGCCTGGGCTGGCTTCAAACCGTGATCCTCTTGATCTCAGCCTCCTGAGTAGCTAGGATTAAAGATGTGAGCCACCAGTGCCCAGAAAAAATTTTTTTGAAGGCACTGGGGTTTGAACTCAGGGCCTTGTACTTGTTAGGCATGCACTCTGCCACTTGAGCCATTCTACCAGCTGCTCTGGTTATTTTGGAGATGGTGGTCTCATGACCTAGACTATTTGCCCAGGCTTGCCTCAAACCTCAATTCTCCTTATCTCAGCCTCCCAAGTGGCTAGTGTTACAGGCATGAGCCACAGGCACAAGCTAAAACTGAGATTTTTTTTTCTTTTCTTTTTTTTTTTTTTTGTGGTATTAGGGTTTGAACTCACGGTTTTGCACCCACTAGACAGGAGCTCTACCACTTGAGCCAAGCCTCTAGCCCTATTATTTTTAAATTAGTATGTTTCTAAATGTGATAAAATATAACATTAAGTTGGTAATTTTAACCACTTTGAAGTATACAATTCGGTGGTATTCATTACATTCACAATGCAGTAGAACCCATCACCACTATTTTGAAAAGTTTTATCACTCAAGCAGAAGAACTATACTCATTCAGCAATTACATTCTATTTTCCCCTCTCCAGCTCTTGTGTCCTCTAGTCTACTGTCTCTAAGAATTTCTTATTCCATATACTTCACATAAATGGAATCATATGGTATTTGTCCTTCATGGCTTTTTTCACTTAGCATAATGCTGTCAAAGTTCATCTGTGTTGTAAATGTATCAGAACTCCATTCCTTTTGCAATTTCTTTTTATGGCTGATTAATATTCCATTGCCCATATATACCGTATTTTGTTTACCTATTCTCTGCTGATGGACACTGCATTATTTACATCTTCTGGCTATCATGAACAATGCTGATCTGAACACTGTTGTACAAGTTATCTCTGAGTCTGTTTTTAATTCTTTTAGGAATATATCTAGAAGGAGAATTGCTGGCTCATAGGTAACTCTGCTTAGCTTTTTTAAAAACTACCAAACCATTTTCCATAGCAGTTGTACTATTTTACATTCCTACCAGCAAAGTACAGATTTTCAATTTCTTTGCATCTTTGCCAACAACTGCCTCTTTCTGGTTTTTAAAAGGATTATTACAGCCATCCTGGTAGGTATGAAGTGGTTTTGTCATGCAGATCCCTAGTGACTAATGCTACTGAGTCTTTTCATATGCTGTTGGCCATTGTATATCTTTTTTTGAGAAATGCCTATTCAGGTTCATTGTCTATTTTTTAATTAGGTTGTTATCTTTTTGTTAAGCTAATGGAAATCTTTATAGATTTTGAATATTAAACCCTTGTCAGATATATGATTTGCAAATATTTTGTCCCATTCTGTTGGTTGCTTTTTCATTTGTTTGAGACAGGGTCTAACTATGTAGCCTAAGATGGCCTCAGATTTGAGATCCTCCTGCTTCACCTTCCTGAATGCTGGGATTATCTGTGTGTGCTACCATGCCCAACTGTTAGATAGTCTTTGAAAATTTTTAACTAATTAATTAAATTATTACTTTTTGCAATACTGGGGTTTGAACTCAGGGCCTCATGCTCGCTAGGCAAGTATTCTACTACTTGAGCCACTCTACCAGCTCCTTTTTGCTTTTAGTTATTTTTTCAGGTAGGGTTTCCTGGGGTAAGCCTCAGACCTCAATCCTCCTAAATTGCTGGGATTATGGTGTAAGCCACCACATTCAGCTGTAATTTTAGGGGTTATCTACTTTTCTTTAGCTGTCTGTTGTTTTAGTACCATACTTAGGAAACCATTGCCAAATCCAAAGTCATGAAAATTCACTCCTTTCTTCCTTGAGTTTTTATTTCAGTTCTTTTTAGAATTTTTAAATTAATTTTAACAGATGTATTAATACCTACATACTGTACATATGTATGAGGTCTCATAGGATGTTTCAAAACGTGTACATGGTATAATGTTTAATCAAGGCAAACTCTCTATTGCCTCATTTATCATTTCTTTTGGCAGGCTTGAACTCAGGGCCTCGTGGTAGCGCTCCACCACTTAAATCACAGCCCCAGACCTCATTTATCATCTTTATGGTGAATATATTTGAATCCTACCTCTTTCTGGTTTTTAAAAGGATTACTATAGACATCCTGGTGGGTATGAAGTGGTATTTCTTCTTCAAATATACAGCATATTACTGTTATCTAATCACCCTACTGTGCAACAACACACCAGAACTTCTTATTCCTACAATACCTTAGTACCTACTAATCAAATCTTGCCCTATCCCTCCTTCCCTCCTACTCTCCCAGATGATGGTTACTACCATTCTACTCTCAATTTCTGTAGGATCAAGTTTTTTATATTTCACATATGAGTGAGATCATACAGTACTTGTCTTTCTGCCTGGCTTATTTAACTGAACATAATGATCTCCAATGCCATACATGTTGTTCAAATGACAGGATTTCATTCTTTTTCTAGCTGCATACTATTCCATTGTATATATGTACCACACTTTCTTTTCTGCCCATCAGTTGATGGACACTTAGATTGTTTCCATTTCTTGGCTATTGTGAATGGTTTTATGATAAATAAGACAGTATATGCCTTTTCCACATGCTGAATTAATTTCTTTTAGCTATATACCCAGCAAGGGGATTGCTAGATCATATGGTAGTCCTATTTTCAATTTTTGAGCAACAGTTTTAGCACTTAAAGTTGGGTCATTGATTTCTTTTTAGTTAACTGGTCTATATTGTATAGGGTAATGGTACAGCTTTATTCTTCTGCCTGTGGACATCCAGTTTTCCCAGAAATATTTACTGAAGATTTTGTTCTTTCCTCTACCAAATAGTGTTGCTACACCAGTTGAAAACCAATTGGCCATAGACATGAGGGTTTATTTCTGGCCTGTCAATTCTATTCCATCAACATGTTTGTCCTTATACTAGTACCACCTTGTTTTTATTACAATACTTTTGTAGTAAGTTTTAAAATTAGGAAGTATGAATCCAACTCTGTTCTTTTTTCACATTTTTTTGGCTATTTGTATTCCCTTAAAATTCCATATGAATTTCCATTTCTGAAAAATACCATTTGGATTTTGACAGGGATTACATTGAGTTTGTAGGTCACTTTGGATAGTATTGTATCTTACTGATATTATGTTATTATGTCTTCTTATCCAAAAAACACAAGAAGTTTATTAATTTGGGGTGTGTGTGTGTGTTGCTGGGAACTAAACCCTGGTCTTGTACATACTAGGCAAGTGTGCTACCTTGCCTAGTGAGCTAAATCCTTGGCCCATTTAGGTCTTCTTTAATTTCTTTGTTTTTTCCTTTGGTGGTACTGGGGTTTGAACTTAGGGCCTCATATTTGCTAGGCAGGTGCTCTCCTACTTGAGCTACTTCGCCAGCCTTTTTGTTGTGTGTTGAGTATTTTCAAGATAGGGTCTCACAACCATTTGCTGGCTTTGAACCATGATCCTCCTAATCCCCATCTCCTGAGTAGCTAGGATTATAGTATGAGACAACAATGCCCGGCAAGTTTCTTTCAGAAATACTTAACAGCTCTCAGGTGCAAATTTTATACCTTCTTGGTTAAATTTATTGTTAAATATTTTATTCTTTTTGATGCTTTTGTAAATGGAATTGTTTTCTTAATTTTCTTTTCTGACTGTTACAAGTATATAGAAATATAACTGATTTTTATGTGTTGATTTTACATCTTACAACTTTGCAGAATTCATTTACTAGTTTTAAGTTTTTTTGTGCAGATTTTTTTTTTTTTGGCAGTACTGGGGTTTGAACTAGCTTACGCTAGCTAGGCAGGTGCTCTACTACTTGAACCACTTCCCCAGCCCTTTTTATTTTAGTTATTTTTGAATCAGGGCTCATGTTTATGCCCAGGCCAGTCTGGACAAAGTTCCTCCTGTTTATGCTTCCCATGTAGCTGGGATGGCAGGTGTGCATCATAATACCCAGCTTTTTATTGACTGAGATTGGGGTCTCATTAACTTTTTGCCCAGGTTAACCTCGAACTGTGATCTTCCTGATTTCTGCCTCCCTAGTAGCTAAGATTATGGACATGAGCCAGTGTATACAGCTTGCTTTTTGTTTTTTCAGACAGTGTGTTGCTAGGTAACCCAGGTTGGCCTTGAACCCACAATGCTATTGCCTCTGTCTCCTGAGTGCTGGGATTCCAGGCATGCTCCATCATGCCCAGCTTGTGTGGATTCTTTAGGATTTTCTAGATATAAGATCTTATCATCTACAAATGTAGTTTTACTTCTTCCTCTCCAATTTGGATAAATTTTATTTTTTTCTTTCTTAAATGCTCCAGCTAGAACTACAGTACTATGTTGAATACAGGTAGTGAAAGTAGACATTCTAGTCTTGTTTTTGAGATAGGGTCTGGAGATGTAATTAATTGAGATGATCATGTGGGTTTCTTTCCCAGATTGTTTACTGGCTTTTGTATGTTGAACCACTTGCATCCTTGGGGTAAATCCCAAGAGTGTAAACAATGCCAACCTTCTTCTTCTTCCTTCTTCTTATTATTTTTGCAGTACTTGGGTTTGAACTCAGGGCCTACACTGTGAGCCACTCTACCAGCCCCATTTTGAGATGGGTTTTTTCAAGAGAGGATCTTGCAAACTATTTGTCCAGATTGGCTTCAAACCTCGTTCCTCCTTATCTCTGCCTCCTGAGTAGCTAGGATTACAAGCATGAACCACTGGCTCCTGGACTTCTCATTATTTTTTAAAAATGTAACTTTAATAAAATATGATAGGCTATCATTTAATATATATAAATATATATTAAAATATATATATATGCTACCTTTTTTTTGGTTGGATGGTTTGAACTCAGGACTTCATGATTGCAAGCAGGAGCTCTACAACTTGAGCCATGCCTCCAGTACTAGATATGTATTTTAAATTAATGAGTACATAATTTTTACATTTTTCTGTTTTGATTTTTATAAGATAAATATTCTTAGGTATAATTTACATAATCTAAAACTTTTTTGGGTCCTTAATAATTTTAAGAGTACTAAGATGGCCTGAAATGAAAAATTTTGAGAAACACTGCCTCAAAGGCATATTATCCCTAAATATACTGAATATAAACTATCTGGAAAGAGTCCTGCAAGGTACTACTGAAGCCATGACCCCAACTGAATAAAGGCAGAGAAGGGATGACCTGGGGAATGCACTAGCCCAGGTCCATAGGCTACCCTCCTAACCCTTAAAATTACCTGATGCTGTTGCCATATCTGATTTTGAACTTATACACATTGGGTCCTGCATGAAGAAATCTCGTCTCTGGAAATGGGTAGGTAAAGGGTTTTAAAGTCATTGCTTCCCAATGATATCTAAAATAAAGTAGAAATGTTAGAGAATTACTAAAAGGCTATAAGATGGGGCTCCTTATATATAGGAAAGGGACCCTACCCAATCTCTACCATCTCTTCAAGGGCCAAATGTCCAACACTCAGTACCACTGCCCATATACTAAGTTCAGCTCTGCTAATAATTACCTGGGCCATTCTTATACCTGCACAGGGAAGATACATGGTGTTTTGGAACCATCTCTATGTTTGAAAACAAAAAGTCAGAATTCAGGTTTTGTTGTTTATCTTATGATTTGTATAAATCATTTCTCTTCTGTAAGACTAATGATATTATCATCTGCCCTGATGATTCAAGGGGTTTTCATTACAATGAAAAGTTTCTCCTAGGTCTAGAGGTGTGGTTCAAGTCATAGAGTGTTTGCCTTACAAGTGCAAGGTCCTGAGTTCAAACCTCAGTACTGCCCAAAGATATTTTCCCAAACATCTCTTAAATGTATTCTCCTTCCCCATGCCCCTGGAACCTAAATGGACGTGAAGGGAGCTCAAGTTAAATAATGAGACAATCCAAAGAATACACCATTAGGAGCCCAACTTGGAGGACCTCTGCTATTAACTTTAAATGAAATTAAGCGATTAGCCAATTCCCTGACAAGGCCAGTGCAGTCAATGTTTCCCAGTGGTGGTATGGAAGGCATAATTTTCTCTATCTTTCCACTACTCATCCTCTCTACCATTTGTGAGGCTTCTCTGAGCCCTAAAATTGCCTACTATACCCCTGGCAATTACAAGTTTTATTTTCCCTATTCTAGAACCTCTGTCCTCTTATGTTCCTTTCTGTGAGGAACTCAGCAAAAGGGAGAGAAGGAAAAAAATAAAATAAAAGGATGGTGTGTTTCTTCTCTTCCAAGAGGACAAATGACATGCGCCCAGAGGTAAGAATCAAGCACACTGTGATTTTTTCTAAGTCACTAGGGCTTTTCTGTACCTCTTTTTATTTGTAAAGTAGAGATAGTAAAACTTGCACTCTTTTACTCTTTTTCTCTTCATGTGGATTTTAGTTTTTCTTATTTTATTTGTTGGCAGTACCAGGGCTTGAACTCAGGGCCTTGTTTGTTAGGCAAGCACTCTACCACTGGAGACATGGTCCTAGCCCTTCATATGGAATTTTAAATAATAATACCAAAAGAGGTCCAGAGTTCCCAAGGATCAAAGTTACCTATAAACAACCCAAGGTATCAATTTAAAAGGCAGAGGTGGAGTAAAGTGAGAAGAATCTAGGTTTGAATCTCAGCTCCAATGTCCACAATGTAATTTCTCTGAGACTTAGTCTATGTACACAGTAACAACCAATAACAACTTTTTTTTTTTTTTTTTGCAGTACTGGGGTTTGAACACAGGGCCTCACACATGCTATGCAGGCACTCTACCAGTTGCCCTGCATAACAATTTTTTTTTTTTAATCCCAGTCTGGACAGAATTTCTAAACTCAAGCTATCTTCCTGCTTCAGCCCCAGAATAGCTAGGACTACAGACATATGTCATAGAGCTCAGCTAACAATTTTTGTCATGCCCTATTCTGTTTTATGTGTGTGTGTGTGTGTGTTTTGGTGATACCAGAGTTTGAACTCAGGGCCTCACACTTGCTAAGTAGGTGCTCATCACTTGAGCCATAATTCCAGCACTTTTTTTACTTTTGTTATTTTTCTGATAGAGGCTTATGTTTTTGCCCAGGGATGGCCTGCCTACCTATTCCTCCTACACAGCTGGGACCACAGATGCAAACCACCATGCCCAGCTTGTTTGTTGAGATGGGTTTTCACTAACCTTCTACCTGGGCTGGCCTCAAACTGCTACCCTCCTGATCTTTACCTTCTTTTTCTTCTTTTTTTTTTTTGATGGTTCTGGAGTTTGAATTCAGGTTCTCACACTTGCTAGGCAGGTGCTCTACCACTTGAGTTACTCCACCAGCCCTGATCTCTACCTTCTTAGTAGCTAAGAGTATAGGTATGCACTAGCACACTTGGCCCTTGTCATGCCCTGTTCTAAATGCTGTGTATCTCTACAGATTATCTAACTTAATCCTCACAAGCCTACGTGATAACTAGTATCAGTTTGATAGATGAGGAAACGGACACAGAGTTGAAATAATCTGCTCATAGCTATGAACATTGGAATTTGAATTCAGATTGAAGGAGTATAAAAAAAAATCAGCCCTTGGGCTGAAAGCATGGCTCAAGTGGTAGAGCACCTGCCTAGCAAGCACAAAGACATGAGTTCAAACGTCAGTACTACCAAAAAAAAAATCAGACTGAAGTAATATAGATACATATAGATATACTCTGTCAGTCTAATACCTGGGGTTACAAGGAAGGAAAAAAATAAAATAATAAAAATAATTTTGTAAGTAGTAAAATACCATACATACATAAAAGACTTTATTATTCTTTCCTTCATATTATCTTAATACTATTTCTACTCAGCAGGGAAAATTCTTATATGGTGGGATCAAAAGACTCACATGCCTAGAGAATGGAATTTCTTGCAATTTCCAAAGTTCAAATCTGGGGCTGTCTGTAAGGAGTACCCTATTGTCTGATTTCGCTACTTGGGATTAGAATGAGTGGAGGCTGGAGCCAGAGCTTATGAGACTATTTAGACTAGAATTGCAGTTGACAGTGAAAAATAGTTGGTGCCAATTGCAAAGTCATCAGAGAGGAAATATTGTTCATATCCTGAGAAAGAAACTTGTCCAAGGCATGGCAGGAACTCAAACTGGATGTGTCAGATGACTTTTCTAAGTAGGCAGGGAGCCCACCTGGTGAAACCTAAGTTGCTGCCATAGATATTTAGCTCTCAGTACTCAGAAGGGTCTTTGAAGATGTAGTCACCTCCCCAAATACTGAGGCCTGGGAGCATCCAAGCAAAAGAAATGCAGGACATTTGCTGGAAATGACTGTCCAGAGAGAAGACTTCATGTGCTGTGTCACAGCAGCTGTCTGTCCAAAGCGGGGGTGGAGGGGTAGCCTGTTCTAGCTGGGGCCTGTGCCTGTTAATTGCTGGCTGCCTGTTTCAGAAAAAAAGACCACACACTAATTACCTCATTTGAAAATAAAGATTAGACAGTATAATCCAACACAACCACATAGCAGTCTTAGTTCAAAGATTTCACAGTGTTATTTTCCAACACTGACTACTGTAGCCATGGTGACACTATGTCCCAGTAACTGTTATCAAGCTGCTATGATCTTCCAGAAAAGTCAGATTCTCAACCCATTTTTAGGTGACCACAAACCATGATGGCTTTAAAACAAAGGGAGAAAAGTTACAAGGCTGTATGGGACAGTGCAAAAGAAATAAGATTTGAAATTGGAAGAACATGGCTTGAGTTCTACTTCTTCCTCTTCTTATTGATCAGACACTGAGCAAGTCACTTAGCCTTTTGATTTCTTTGTTTTTATTTCCATAATGGCAATTCCACCCACTCCAGGAATTGTGAGATTAAATGAAATAATGGTATACACAGCCATTTCATAAAATCCATACTATTATATAAACATCAGCTGTTATGACAGATTTGAAGAGTTTTTCTCTTAATGCTTTATAAGAAAAGCAAATTCAAGAGAGCAAAACTGCTTAGCTTTAATTTAAATGCAAAATCTGACAAATCCAAGCCAAGAACTTTTCCTTAAAAATACCCAAGTATTAGATTTAAAATACATGTAAGGATTGAGATTAGAAAGATTTCTCAAAGATTTATTAATTCATTTCACATAACATATAGGTCACTACGTAGAACCGCAGCAGGGCTGAATGTATGTGAGGATAATGGTACTGACTCTGTAGTGGAAGATGATAGTAAGGAAGTGCAGCCTCTGAGCATTTGGTGATACCTGGTGGAAAAATCTCCACAATGTTGAACAGAACTTCTATAAGCATTTATTCAAAATGCATTTACTGCTAGGCGCTGGTGGCTCACACCTGTAATCCTAGCTACTCAGGAGGCAGAGATCAGGAGGATTGCATTTTGAAGCCAGCCCAGGCAAACCAGTTTATGAGACTCTATCTCAAAAAAAAAAAAAACCTTCATAAAAAAGGCTGGTGGAGTGGCTCAAGGTGTATGCCCTGAGTTCAAATTCTAGTACGGCAAAAAAAAGATGCATTTACTGAGCAATTTTTAACACTACAAGCTCTGAGACCACTAACTAATGAATGTGGGCAACTCACATTCATAGTGGGAAATGCAACTGATGCTATGAATTTAGCAGCACAATGCTTTAGAATTGAAACTCAGGACAGATGACCATCTTCTCCATCCTCTTTCAAAAGTCCTTGGCTGTCTCAAGAGATCTGCCCATCTTTGTTGAGGTCACTTCCTAATCTTTAAAAGCCTACATTATCAACTAGACATTCATGGAGTCCTACAGATAAAAGCTACCTCCTTTTAGGGAGGTCCAGGGGGAAGTGACTTCACCAGAGGGAAATGACTTCCACAAAGTCAAATAATTCCATATGGAACCAGGATTAGCCCAGGTTGCTAAAATTGTTGATTCCTTTGGCCAATGTATTTTCCACTGTCTTTTTTTTTTCTTGTAGTACTGGGGTTTGAACTTGAGCCAATCCACCAGCCCTTTTTTGTGATTTTTTTTTTTTTTGAGATAGAGTCTCACAAACTATTTCCCCAGGCTGGCTTCAAACCATGATCCTCCTGATCTCTGCCTCCTGAGTAGCTAGGATTATAGGCATGAACCATTGGCGCATGGTTCCACTGTCATCTTGTCAGTCATGTTATTAAATTATAACCCTGGTCACTTTCATGATTCAAGGTGACTACTGACAAACTCATTCTGGGTACAAAGACATCAAACCAAAATACAAGCTTTTCTGATTAGTGGTTCTTAGAATTATAATTTGAGCTACAAAGGATTAAAATCACATTTGTTTGTCTTCGAGTTCTGTTTTCAAAAGAGGTATTCTCAGTTTCCTCACCTTAAGGGTGATTAGGATG